TAGTCGCCCCATTATAGGATATAAGGTGGAAAATAGTATGGTCGCACTTGATCGCATCGAATATTTGGATCACATCATAAAGCATAGGGGTGGTCAAAAAATGTATACCAATAACCGAATCGACAAGACTTATCGATTAACCTCTTGTTATCAGTTCATTTAGCAGTTAGTTTGATAGTTTACCGCTAACCAATAACCAATAACAACCTCAACATTTGAAATTTAATATTTGGTGACTAATGGCCTTCACAAATGTAGCCCATTAAAAGTAAATCCTATCGGCTAGGTAATAACATTGATCGTAAATGGTATCGTTTGTCGTATATCCGGGAATTCATGACGCACACTATGATCAAGTAGGCGGCAAAGATCTTCCACATTTCATGCTCGTAAATGCTCATAGTAGATGTTAATGATGGCATTACAAAAATTACCTAGCCAGTTTCGTGTGGTAGGCTCACCTATTATGATTATCACATTTAGTGAATAGACTAAGCATCCGGATTTAAGCATACATCTTTTTCTAATGTGAGAAATACTTGCTACATGAAACATCTTGGCATTGTTAGAAGTAGGGAATCGTCGCGTTGAATAACGTCAGTCATGATTCGGTTGACCAAGGAAGGGTTCACATGAAATCGTCATATAAAGAAATTGGTGTCATATTTGCATCAAACGTTGGTTTGTATCAAGCGTTGGTGTGCATCTTTCTTGTTACGATTCATAACTTTCATGAATGATGTGAATAATAACGAGATGACGATGCTTGTTATTGAATAAGGATTTCTCCGGTCATCATCATATCTTGACGTTGACGATCAAGGTCCCATACATACTCATGTTGTCTGTCATTAGGTTGTCTTTCCCTCAATTAATTTTCTCTATCACGGGAAACAAGAACATGGTGAACAAAGAGTTGTTAGTGTGTAGAGAGAAGTATGCAGTTGTGAGAATGAAAAAGTCTCAATTATGGGATGGCTCATAGATCAAATTTATGCTCTCATTTATAGAAACACAAAAATATTCATTTAGTAAGAGTTGATGAGACAATTGATTTGGATAAATTTGTATGAAAAGTGAAAAAGCTCAACTCATTATGCTAAAGTTTGATGAACAGTTGATGATACAACTCATTCCATTATTAATAGTCGATAACACAACTTATTACGCCAACTATTGATATGACTTGAATCAGATTACTCATCATCGATCGGAAGTCACGGGGGTCTAGTTTGCACACATTGTGTTAGTGTATCACGTAAATCTATGTTTTTCTCTTTCTTTGCTATCGCTGTCTTTCTTTCTTTGTCCTAGATTACTACTTTTTCTCACTTTGCTACTATAGATGGTCTGACTAAAGTACATTGATGCGTATACAGCAGTTCCGCGTCGCTTCGAACCCGGGCCGAATCCCAAGTATTGCAAGTAGTCCGGGTCGCATGATTGTTTTGGTTTCCTTTTTGCTTCGGTCATTATCATGCCATTTTCCTTTTCTTGTTGGACACGTTAATTGTAAGGACTCCCTATAATAATCGGTCATTATGGAATAAGAGAAGTAGAAGAAGAAAACCCATAAAACCCCTAGTTTCCCCTCTCTGTGATTTCTTTAACGTGACGCTAATGCATCAATTGATATCAGAGACCTCTTCGAAAGAACCGAGCTCGATCCAGCTCCCAGGGCCACGCAACGAGACGATAGAGAGGTCTCTCTATTTTCCCTAACTGGCGTTTCTCACCCGTCAACCTTGCGGTTTTTGGTACAACTGCAACAGCAGGAGATGGTGGCCCTGGTCGACAGCGGCTCATCACACAACTTCATCAACCGCGACACGACCAAAAATTATGCCTTGACACCACATTGATTTCGCCGTTCATGGTCGAAGTAGCCAATGGGGACGTCCTTCATTGTGACTTTGCTACGAACGCGTGGACCTGGTAATCCAAGGAGAGCGTATGGCGATAGACCTATACGAGTTACCCATCAAGGGTCTCGTTGCTGAAGAAGTACATGGGGGAGGTGAACGACCAATATGTGTTTGAGCCACCCGTGGGGGATAACGGTGATTTGAAACTGATTCTTGACCACCGCTGGTTGCGTCTGGTCGAGCGAGTTGTGGAGGAGTGTCTCGTGCAGTGGTCGAGCTTGAGGGCAAGGTCGAGCTTCAAGGGGAGGGGGCAATGATGTGTATACAGCCCTTCCACGTCGTTCAGCCCGTGAACCCAAGCCCAATCTCAAGTATTGTGGGTCGCATGAGTGTTTTGGTTTCCTTTTCGGTTCGGTTATTAACTTATTATCTTGTTATTTTTCTTTCTTGTTGGACACGTTAATTGTAAGGACTCCCTATAAGTACCGGTCATTATGGAATAAGAGAAGTAGAAAGAAGAAAATCCCAAAAAAATCCTAGTTTCCCCTCTCTCTAATTTCTTTAGCGCGATGCTAATGCGTCATAAATGTTTAGAAAAAGGTTGTCAGACCACTATCAGACTGACCGATTGGACCAGGTTTGATCGGCAGCAACCATGAAATGTTTTCCATCATGTCATTTTGAGTGGTAGCCAGTATCCGATCAAAATCGGTGGTCGAGACACTTTTTCTGGTTTCCGATCGATGACCAAAATGTTATGACCGAATGTAAGGGTCTTAATGGGTTATATATCTAGTTAAGTGCAAAATTACGAAATGATACATCCAAAGTAAATTTCATTTTAGTATTTAGAAAAAGAATAAACCACTCATATAGATTGGAGGAAAAAATCTCAAAATACACTAGTTATTAAAAAAATTCTCAAAATAAAAGAGTTATAAATTTTTTTTCCAAAGTATACATGTTGACAACCACAAAGTATACTTAGAACGAAACTAGAGTGCAGGAATGGAGGGAGAAAGAAGAGTAGTGTGGTGGTGTGATTTGGAAGAGGGGAGGAGGTTTCTATTTATAAGGGAAGGGGACCGCTGGAAAATGCAGCAGGGAGGCCATCACCGCGTTTGTCAAATGCAGTGAACTCCCCACTTTCCTCGGACGCGGATCGCTGATGTGGGAGGCTGAGAGGCGTCGGAGCTGGGAGGAAAACCAGAATCCACACCTCACTGCATCCGACGACAACGGTGAAGGGGCTCAACGACGCAGATCGCTGACGTGGACAGTAGGGTATTCCCCACAATTGTCTACAATGGTGAATGCCCCACGGTAGTCCATGTCAGCGATTCGCGTACCTTCCCCGCTTTTGGTTAAAATAGTGAATGCATCACCGTTTTTGTTTAAGGCGGTGATTGTATTCACTGCATTCGACAAAGGCGGTGAATGTCAAACATGTGTACTTTGGGGAAAAATTTTATAGAATTAATTGCATGGTTGGTCACTGAGATTACAAAAAACGTTCAATTTTGGTCACTCGAAATATTTAAATTCATTGGTGGTACTTCAGTTTACTAAAACCGTTCACGTTTGGTCACTCTCTGTCAAACTCCGTTAACTTTTGCTTACGTGCCAGTCAACTCTGAAAGTTGATCGTTAAATATGTGTCGTGACAATTAAAAAATAATTAAATAAATTTTAATTTTTTAAAATTTCCAACTCATTTCTAACTATTAAAAAGATAAAAAATTTAATTTACTTTTTTAATTTTAAATTTCTAACTCATTTCCAACTCATCGGCAACTTTGGGCATCAGAGCATTTTCCAAGTCTCTTCATCTCCACTTCTTTCTTTCTTTCTCTTATTCTGCTATCTGTCCACATGCAAATTTTTTCCTGTTTTTACTATTACAATATCTTCCTATCCCATCGAAGCTGGTTTCCTCTGTTCTCAATAGCCTTGATGATCCGTACTGGCAAATTTGTTTGCTGCCAAATGCGTACAAAGTCAGCTTAGGTGCTTACTAAAGTATTTCCATCAACCCATGAAACCCAAATCACTTGCCCGCTGCACATTTCTCCGTGAATCCCGTCCCTAGAGATCGATTGGGGGAATTTCTGAAATGAATCGCTATTTGCCGCCCGTCGTATTACTATTTGCCGCCCACATTTAGGAAAAAAAAGACTACTTTACCCCTGCCCCTAACCCTATCTATCCACACCACCCCACCCCACCCCAACCTCCTCCCCCCTCCCACCCCACCCCACCCCACCCCCACCCCCAACCTCCTGCCAACCTCCCCCAACTCTTGCCTCCCGCCACCGCCGACGAGCAGCGACTCCTGCCTCCCACCGCCGACGAGCACCGCCTCCTGCCTCCCACCGCCGACGAGCCACAGCAGCCGCCTCCTGCCTCCCGCCGCCGACCGAGCAGAAGAGGTCCGCCGCCGACGCCACAGCAGCCGCCGACCTCGCTCTCAGGTAATTTTTTTTTAATTTTTTTCTCGCCGCCGTCCGACACGCCGAAGCGGACGCCGTCCGACACGCCGAAGCGGACGCCGTCCGACACGCCGGAGCGGACGTGGTCCGCCTGGCCGGAGCGGACGTGGTCCACCTAGCCGGAGCGGACGTGGTCCGCCGGGTCTGGTCGGACCCCGTCCGCCTGGTCTGGTCGGACCCCGTCCGCCCGGTCTGGTTTCTGATTCGATTTGAATGGTTCTGTCTGTTTAAAAAAATATTTATTACATTTATTTTAAATACAATTGTTAGTATATTAATTAGTTTAATATTGATAGTTGAATAATTAGTATATAATTGTTAATTAATTATATAATGTGTTAGTTTATTAAACGGGTAAGTTGAAATAATTAGTATATAATTGTTAATTAATTATATAATATGTTAGTAATTAGTATATAATTTTTAATTAATTATATAATGTGTTAGTAATTAGTAAATAATTGTTAATTATTTATATAATGTGTTAGTTTATTAATTGGGTAAGTTGAAATAATTATTTTAATAACTATCTATCGTATATAGTAAAGTAACTATCTAGTTAAATTAATTAGATAATCAAGTTGTATGTATCATAATTAGTAATTGATAAATTATGACTATAAAGAAATTGCTAATCTAATAATTTATTACAACAGATTAATTGATAATTATTGAATATGCTAATAAATAAAATATCTAAATAATTATTGGATTAAATAATTATTGTAAATAATTGTTAATTTTAAATAATTATCTATGATGTTTTAGTTAAGTAATTGAGTAAGTTGAAATAAATATTTAAATAACTACCTATCGTATTAAGTTAAATAACTACCTAGTTAAATTAATTAGATAACCAAATGGTATGTATCATAATTACTCTATGAAAAAACAAGTAATTGCTCAACAAATAATTATTATAAGATATTAATAGAAAATTATTGAATATGTTTAGAGATGGCGTCACGTGACAATTCTGGAGGATCACATAGTTCTGGAGGAGCTGGAAAGAGATTGAGAAGATTCGATGGCCGTAACATTAGCGCTAGTGCGAGAAATAGGGGCCCAAATGATAGAGATGAGCCACAGCCACAGCCACAGCCACAGATGACACCGATGAGATTTAGGGCAGACGGTTTCCCTGAGTTTGATTTTCAGTTGCCTAGTAGGGCTGGTAGTGGAGCTGGTCCTAGTATTGATCATCATACTTCACCGTTTGAGCCTTCAGACAAGATTGACGACGAGTCGGAGGAGTATGAGTCGGATGCTGTTGAGCATCGGATTCCACGAGTCAGTCCGATCAGAGACAGAGTTGCCCCCAGCGGATCGTCACATGTCGTTACTGGGGTTCATACTGTTACTGGGATCTATAGAGACCATGCAGGGCGTTTCTATAGAGCTCCACAGCCTGGTGAGGGCCAGAGTGGTACTGCTGATGTGGGAGAGGCCTGGGAGCCTAGAGGACCGTGTCCTGGAGGGCCGAGCGACCCGAGTTTGCTCCGTAGCTTTCTTGGGCATGTTGCCCACCGTCTGTACACGGGAGAGGCTGATAGAGGGGTGATCATTTGCTACGACAGGAGTTCGACCCTCCACCACGTTCTCGGCGGTTATGAGATAGCAGATGATAATGCTAGGACTACCGTAGAGACATCGGGCCTTGCTCACCTCGTTGATATCACCTTCCAGAGCGAGTTGGATCCTGCTCTCATCTCGGCATTTGTAGAGAGGTGGCAGCCGGATACCAACACCTTCCACATGCCGTTTGGAGAGATGACGATCCTCCTTCACGACGTGGCACACATTCTTGGGCTTGCGGTTGATGGAGAGGCGATGGTAGTGGATCCGAGGCAGTTGGAGAAGTGTTCACTGGAGACTGACATCCGAGCACTACTGGTCGACTTTGTACTGGTACTGGTACTGGTCGACTTTGTAGACCCCGACGTTGTGCTTCCCGACTTCTTTTTCATGTCTTTCTTCTTGCCTCGCAATATCTTTTCCCACCACCCTTTAGTTCTTCCGGTTGATTTTTTGGCTGGGCGTCCCTTTCGTGATTCGTTCACTTCTGGCTCGTGAATGTTGTCTTCCGCCGGGTGGAGACCGCGAAAGACGTTCTTTGCTGCTTTTTTCGTTGCCTCTGGTCCTCTGCGTACAGCCTCATCAACCAACTCCTGAAGGTGACATTTAGCCTCCTCCTCCTGGGGAACGTACTCCTGAGCATTGGGTGGATGCTCGTATGACAGTGTCCGCCAATATATATGAATATCACCGGGGTATATCTCTATGTCTCGCGCTCTGCCATCCATAACTTGACATCCACACCTCAAGCCGTGTGTCACAGAGAAATGACATGCACATCGGGAGTTCTCATTTTTTTCCAAGCGGGCAGCCAATTCTTCTTCAGCCTCCTTCATTAATATAATTGCCTGCATGCTGACCTTCCTTCTCAAGTATGTGAATGGTGTACCACCGGATGCTGAAAGGGTTTTCTGTCTAGAGTTTTCCAACATCATCCTAACCTCCCCGAGTTGGTTAGTAATGTAGCGGTGGTTTCCTTTCCATACAGTGTCCATAGATCCCCGCGAGTTGTGGAGGAAATTTTTCAAAGCGAAATGTGACGACTCAACCCTGTTTGTGCTCGTATTTCCTAGATGAAACACATTTTTTGTATGACAAACAGCCCACTTTTCTCGATGTTGCCACCACACTCCCTGTATGTATTGCAACAGACGTAGTTCGTAATTGCCCCATCTTGTCCTAAAGCGGCCAAACGCGGCCAACATACCTTGCTCTGACCAAGAATAAAGCATAGGACACCAATATTGATCGTACGCCTCGTTGACCAAATCCATCCTGTCCTTCCCAAATATTTCCAAACACTTCTTCTGCACATTGGTGTTGATGTGCCAAACACATAGCAAATGCGGGGTGCGGGGGAAGACCACAGGAACCGTAGCAAGTAGTCCACCTTCGTGGTCGGTGACGATGACACTGGGCACGCGTAGATGGAGCAATTGTTGTATGCACTGCAACAGCCAAAGATACGACTCTTTTGTCTCATCCTTCATGAGAGCACAACAGATGTTGAAATTCTTCCCAACTGGAGTAGCACCTACGACCTCCACCCACGGCCATTTATATGCATTGGTCTTATACGTTGAGTCGATCAGAATCACGTACGGCCAAGCCTTCAACATCTTGATGGAAGTTGGATGGGCAAAAAAAAGATGTGTCAGCACGTCGTCATCGTCCTTCATAACCTCTGTATGATAATTCTCACGTTCAGCTGCTAGCAACGCATACTGCACTGCATTCATCTCGCCCATCTCGTCTTTCCTAGACTTGGACCCGAGGTTATACATCTGCCTTTGGGTGTGATGCCCTTTGTCACCCTTCTGCTTGTTTATTGTCTGCTTCTGTTGCGACGGAGGTACCCCAGCATCTCTCATCTGCCTCAGAGATTCTTTATCCTCCTGACTCAATTGATTCATTTGACTGTGGCCTTCGGGATAAAGCATCTTCTCATGATTGTGATACCCTCGCCTTAAACCGGTTCCTTGCTCCGTCACTCCTTGTATCTCCCAGAATGAAGGTCCATCAAGAGCATCTGGATTAACCAGTAGTTCTTTGATTTTAATCCTGAACATGCACCCCGATCCTTTTGAACTTGTATTGCCACGACTCTCCTTGGAAGGATCCGGCTTGTATGACTTCCTCTCCCTACTGCATCTGTCGCAATACATATAACAGATACCCAATAATCTTTTGTTGCTCAACTCACGTGGCTTCATCGATCCCTTAGTTAGAAAGAAACCAAGAGACATCGCGATGTTTTTGGTAACTGTTACAGCATCTTTGAAATTGTCGTATCGGACGCCATTGAGAAAATTGTCCGTGTAATCACCAATTAGTTCAACATTGTAATCCATGTCCACCTGCAATTGTGATTTTACAACTCGTTAGAAATGTACAAAATTAAACTAAATGCAATAATTTAATTAAGTGTAAAAAATAATGATAATTTAAATATAAATTATTAAACCAAATTAGCTCTACGAATTAAATCTAAACACAATAAACTAATTTGCGCTACAACAAAACACAATCACTTAATTAAACTAATTGTGCTTCAATTGACTCAACAAAATTAAACTAAATGCAATAATTTAATTAACTCTAAAAAATAATGATAATTTTACAATAATAAAATTATTTAAATATAAATTATTAAACATCTTTAGCTCTACGAATTATATCTAAACACAATAAACTAATTAGCGCTACAACAAAACACAATCACTTAATTAAACTAATTGTGCTTCAATTGACTCTACAAAATTAAACAACATGCAATAATTTAATTAACTCTACAAAATAACAATAATTTGACAGTAAGAAACTAATTAGCGCTACAACAAAATACAATCTCTTAATTCAAACTACATATGAATTTAACTATGTAAAATAGAAATAAAAGCAATAAATTAAATATAATTAATTAGCTCTAGAAATAATAACCTGTCTCAACTTAAAAAATATATATAACACTGCCGATTCCGATGCATCCGGTCCCCGGCGACGGGCGCCGTCCGACGACGGCGAGCGGACGGGCAAAAAATTCCAGGAAAGTCAGTGGGGTTTACCTGCTTCGCTGGTCCCACGATGAGGTACGGATGCCGTCCAGTGCCCGGCGAATTATGCTGACGAGATTGGTCCGGTGGCCGGCGACTTAGGCTGCCGTCCGGTGGCCGTGAATCTGGCTGTTGTGTTTGTGGGGAGTTGGTGGTCGGGACTCGGGTAGTGTGTTCGTGTTTAAAAAACCATTTCAGCGAATAGAATATAAAGAAAAATTTGGAGGCCAAAATTGTCTTTTTAGTGTTTTTTACGGGCGGCAAATAGTAATTACCCGGGCGGCAAATAGTAACCCTCTTTCTGAATCTGGGTTTTTGTCGACAAAGCTGCTGCCCAATTCCATTTCAATTCCAAGTCAGACTCTGTTGGCAGTGGAGGCGGCCTGGTAGGGTTCTGGTTTTCAGGTGTTGGCCTTGGGTTTGGAGAATTTATTTGAGCGGAAACGGCAGCAATCACCGCCGTTTGTGGTCAAGAATGCGGCGGCGGAGAACAGGGGAGAGGATTCGCCGTTCGTTCTTAATTTTAATTTTAATTTTTTTATTTTTTTACTAGTTAGAAATGAGGTGGAAATTTTATAAAATTAAAATTTATTTATTTAATTAATTATTTTTTAACTGCCACGTGACACATTTAACGGTCAACTTTTAGAGTTGACTGCCATGTAAGCAAAAGTTAACAGAGTTGGACGGAGAGTGAGCAAACGTGAACGTCTTCAGTAAACTGAAGTACCACTAATGGATTTAAATATTTTGAGTGACCAAACTTGAACGCTTTTTGTAATCTCAGTGACCTATCATGCAATTAACCCGTTTTATAACTAACGTATTTTGAGAATTTTTTTTAATTACTAGTGTATTTTGAAAAAAAAAATTCATAGCTTGTACTCCTATCAGGTCATTAAATCTCAAACCAATTGTTTGGGCCTACCCTACCCTCATCTACACCAGCTCAGGGGGAGAAGCTGCTACTTTGATCAAAGCCTTGGTGTCTGCTGCAGAGGTCGTGATCGATCGAGAACTCAATGGTTTTTCCAATGAGTTTAAAGGGAAGCGCAAGATACCTTTGACTTCTCTGGCCTCTCTATCTACCCGGTTGAAACTACTCAAGGATGGAGGGGGTGCAAGCACTTCCAGAATCAGAGAGGAGGATGAAGCTGTCGAAGAACCTGAAGACAATGCTGACATCTCTGACTATGACTCTCCTCCTCACTATCCCTTCTAGAAGGGTTTTGAGCCTCCTTAGAAATCTGTCTAGTATCTAGGTCTATGTTATCTAGAGCAAAAGCAGCCCTAGCTGCCCGCTTATTGTATTTCAATTTTCTTAATGAATAAAGTGGCATCTTGAGTGAAAATTGAATCATGTTTGTAGAACAGGCTGCACCGACTTGTTTGCTAAGTGTATGCAGGTATAAAACTGGGAAATAGCAGTCAAAGAGCCATTGACAAGCTTAGGGGGAGCATGTTGAAAGAAGCTTGTAAATGGCTCTGCTCAAGCAATTCAACGGGACAAGGGATCGATTTGGAAAGCTTGCCAATGCCTCTGCTCAAGCAATTCAAAGGGACAAAGGAGTGATTTGGAAAGAAATCAAATCAACCTACCTTACCTTCTCTACTCACAGGCCAGAAATGGTAAAATCATCAAAGAGACGTTGGGAAACAAGAGTATAAGAAGATACAGAGTATGGGGTCAATCGGTACCTTTTTCAAGCAAACAAGAAGGAAAGAGCAGAGAATTAGCTAAAAGTTTTGTTGAGAAAAAGAGAGCAGATCAGGGTGATTGCTTAGCTAACTAGGTGTACTGTGTTGCAGTCTTGAGTGAGGGTACAGTCTGGTTAGGGTGATTTACCAGCAATAGGCTGAGAGTTCTAGTTCAGAATTGTAACAAAGAACTTGAGGAAACAAATAATTAGTCATACGTTGAAGGTCTCAAGAAGAGATCCATCAACCGTGGATTAGTCGGTACAGGGATTCTTATTCTCCCTGTGTTGGATACCACGTAAAAATTCTGTGTGTTATTGTTCATTCATTTTGTTTCTTTTTCGGTTGATAATCTTGTTGTGTTCTTGTGAGTTCTGTTTGGAACAGGGGAGGTTTTCCAGAAGCAGAGTGTAGAAGAACAAGAAGTATCAATCTACCCTTCTGACTATCTGTGTTGAGGGCCTTACTTACATGGCTTTCAAAATCATCTTTCTGGGCTGGAACTTGGAAATAAAACAAACAGGCCCATTATTCATTCTCTACCTAATCGAAGATTGAACACTTCCCTTCCTTCGTCTTTCATTCAGTTGCAAATCAATTTCACCATCTTACTACAAGTTTTTTCTAGGGTTTTTTTAATTTCAGGAAGAAAGTACAAGAAAATCATCTCCGGTCTCGCGCTCGACCTCCGCTTACACGTGGTATCAGAGCCCGGCTTTGGCATCAAGCAGTTTAACAGCCCACGGAGAAGATGAGTTCGAGTTCAGCGAGTGCAACTGGGATCTACATGGCTGATGGTTTTTCGCAAACCCGGTTACCACGTTTTGAGGGTGTGCACTATGGTTACTGGAGGAATAGAATGGAGTTATTCATCGGTTCCACTGATCCAGACCTATCGAATATTGTGATGGACGGGCCTTTGGAAGTCAATGAAGCTCGAGGAAAGTGGACAGAAGAAGACAAGAAGAATTTTCAGCTCAGCTAAAAGGCAACAAACCTAATGTACTGTGCATTAGGGCCTGAAGAATACCACCGGGTCACAGGCTGCAAAATAGCGAAAGAGATTTGGGACAAGCTTCAAATCGCTCATGAAGGTACCTCCCACGTTAAGATTTCCAGAATCAACAGCCTTAAACAAGAATTTGAATCCTTCATCATGAAGCCACAAGAATCAATCAAAGAAATGAATGATCGTTTCACAACTATTGTCAATAGTTTGAGAAATTTGGAAGTTGAATATGCGAGTGTTGATCTGGTTCGCAAAGTTCTTTGGGCGCTTCCTAAACGATGGACTCCAAAGGTAACTGCCATAGAAGAGTCAAAGGATCTCACCAGACTCTGCTTAGATGAGCTTATAGGTTCGTTGATAACTCGTGAAGAGAAGCTAAGGAGAGAAGAAGTAGATGAGCCTAAAAAGGAAAAACGGAATATAGCGTTTAAGGCCTCATCATATGAAGAAGATTTGGATGGCTTAGAAGACATGGAAGATGACGAATTAGCATTGCTAAGCAAGCATGTTGCTAGACTACTAAAGATGCATAGAGACAAAAGAAAAGGAAACTCACCAAGTAAGACAGAAGAAAGTAGAGATCAAAAGGAAAGAAACCATTTTGGATACAAAAATAGAAGAGAAGGAAGCAATGAGAGGGCTCAATTACAACCAAACTGCTACAAGTGTGGAAAAACAGGACACATAAAAGCAGATTGCCCACTGACGAAAAAGGCCTACGCTGCAACTTGGAGTTGCAGTGAAGAAGATGAAGAAGAAGTATGCAGGCAAGAGGCATACATGGCCATTGGTGAAGAATCAGAGGATGACGATATCAATCAGGTAAAATCCTACTACTCGGATTCCTTTTGTGAAGATGATCAAATGTTAGATACAATACGAGATATTCAACATGAGGTTGCTAATGTAAAACAAAAACACATCAAAACTAAAGTTGATTTTGAAACTCTCTTGTCAAACTATGAATCTCTCAAAACAGAAAAACAAAAGCTTGAAAATGCCTTAAGAAATGCTTTAGACGAGAATGAAGTTCTTGGGGCTAAGCTTGCTGCTTCTGAAGATAGGGTAAAAATCTTAGAAAGAAACAGATTGGGAGTTAGAAATTTAAACTTCACTAATAAGCTTGGTAATAGAAAGACAGTGTTATTACTGTCATAAGCTAGGTCATCACATAAGTAACTGCAGAAAACTGATTGCTAAAGAGATCAAGGCCAAATATGCTTTAAACCTCTCTCATAAACACAAAGAATGTATACATAAAAACTATCAGTCTTTGAAAGAATTCATTTTAGTCTGGAGAGCTAAAAATAAGTAATCCATTTCTTTTGCAGACCTGTCTCCAAGTGAGCATGGAAGACAGTGTTTGGATTCTTGACAGTGGCTGCTCACATCATATGACTGGGGATAAAAAGCTATTCACTGATCTCACCCTAAGAAAGAAAGGTAAAGTCTATTTTGGTGATAACTATAGTATAGAAATTCTAGGAAAAGGAACCATAGGTAACTCACCTTCCATAAGTAATGTTATGTTTGTAAAAGACTTAAAACACAACTTACTGTCTATAAGTCAACTGTGTAAAAATGAAAGTCGAGTCATTTTTTAACCAAACGGATGTATAGTTGAAAACATTCTAACTAAGAAGATTCTGTTTACTGGAAAGCGTAGAGGGAAATTGTTTATCATTGATTTAAATGACAAAAAGACTTTCACCGAATCTTGTTTCATAACAGTTGACAAAGATGATCAACTCGATTGGCATCGAAGGCTAGGCCATATAAGTGTAGGAATTCTGTCTAAACTGGTCAATCTAGAACTAGTCAAAGGTGTTCCTAAGATTCACAGTAAAAAGGAGTTTTTCTATGAGGCCTTTACAAAAGGAAAACATGCTCGTTCCACCTTCAAAACTAAGCAAATTCTTTCTACTAACAGACCTCTTGAACTTCTACATTTGGATCTTTTTGGTCCAAGTAACGTTATGAGTTTAGGAGGGAAATATTATGCTTTTGTCATTGTTGATGACTATTCTAGGTTCACTTGGGTTCTGTTTCTTTCAAGCAAAGATGAAGACCTTCTAAAATTCAAAATCTTTGTAAAACAAGTCAAAAATGAAAAATAGTCTAAGATAGTAAATATTCGAAGTGATCATGGTGGTGAATTCGAATCAGAAAAATTTGAAGACTTCTGTAATTCACATGGAATTCTTCACAACTTTTCAGCCCCCAGGACACCTCAACAAAATGGTGTAATTGAGAGAAAGAATATGACCCTAATTGAAATTGGAAGAACCATGCTTAATGACTATGGAGTTTCAACGAAATTCTGGGCTGAAGCTATCAATACAACATGTTATGTGATTAACAGGGCTCTAATTCGGTCAAACCTAAACAAGACTCCTTATGAGCTTTGGAAAAATCGAAAACCCAATCTGGGATATTTTCATCCTTTTGGATGCAAGTGCTATATCCTAAATACCAAGGATGTATTGGGAAAATTTGACTCCAAGTAAGATGAATCAATTTTCCTTGGTTACTCTACAAACAGTAGAGCTTATAGGGTATTTAATAAGAGGACTCTCAAGGTAGAAGAGTCCATTAATGTTATATTTGATGAGTCCATTATGTCAACGCAGAGATAATAGAAGATGATGAGGATTTTGGACTCGAAAGCAATCAAGTCAAAGACTCTGAGGTTATAAGTAAAGAGACACAACCAACTACTGAGAACACAATCTTGGACAGACCAGAAGCACCACCACATATTCAGAAGCGCCATCCCACTTCTCAAATCATTGGCGACTTAAATCAAGGTATGGTAACTCGTTCCAAGGCTTATCCAGAACATACTGCTCTCATCTCACAAATTCTTCCTAAGAACATAGATGAAGCCCTAGAAGATGAGTTTTGGTCAGCAACTATGCATGATGAAATGAATCAGTTTGAAAGAACCAGAGTTTGGGATCTAGTTCCCAAACCTGAAAATAGAACTATAATAGGTACAAAATGGGTTTATAAAAATAAGACTGATGAAACTGATATTATAATGAAAAATAAAGCTCGTCTAGTAGCACAAGGTTACAATCAACAAGAAGAGATAGATTTTGATGAGACCTTTGCACCTGTTGCTAAATTAGAAGCTATAAGGCTTCTTTGTGCTTTTGCAGCAGCAAAAGTTTTTAAACTATTCCAAATGGATGTCAAAAGTGCTTTTTTAAATGGTGATCTAAAAGAGGAAGTGTATGTATCAGAACCTCCAAGTTTTGAAAGCTCAGAACATCCAAAATTATGTTTACAAACTAAATAAAGCATTATATGGGCTTAAACAGGCTCTTAGAGCCTGGTATGATAAATTAAGCCAATTTCTGTTAGATGATAGTTTTCATAGAGGCAAGGTTGACAAAACTCTGTTTATTAAAAACTCAGGTGGTCATACTTTGCTAGTACAAGTCTATGTAGATGATATCATTTTTGGCTCTACCTATCCAAAACTATGTCGTGCTTTTGAAAACTGTATGAAGGGTGCCTTTGAAATGAGTCTTATAGGTGAACTTAATTTCTTTCTTGGATTACAAGTTAAAACAAACCTCTCCAGGAACCTTCATAAATCAAAGCAAATACCTTCATAATATGCTAAAACATTTTAATTTTGAAAATCTCAAGTCTGCTTCTACTCCTATGGGTTCCTCCACCAAACTCTCTAAGGATGAAACTGGTCTTAACATCGATCATAAGCTATATAGAGGAATGACAGGTTCACTCTTATACTTAACAGCCAACCGTCTTGACATAATGTATAGTGTGTGTGTGTGTGTGTGTGTGTGTGTGTGTGTGATCGCTTCAAAGTCAGCCTAAACACAGCCATTTATCTGCTGTTAAGAGAATCTTTCGCTGCTTGGCTAAAACCCCTGACTTAGGACTGTGGTATTCCAGACATTCGAGTCTAGATCTCAATAGTTACACAGATTCAAACTATACAGGCTGTATAGTTGATCGCAGAAGCACCTCTGGAATTTCCTTAGGATCGCTACCTATCTTTTGTGACAATACTAGTGCTATAAACATGTCAAAAAACCCTATTCAACATTCTCGGACTAAACACATTGAAGTCCGGTATCATTTCGTTCAAGATTTAGTCCAAGATGGTAAGATACATCTTGAGTTCATTAGGACAGAGTGTCAATGGCCCGATATTTTTACTAAACCCTTGCCTGTTGATCAGTTTCTACATATTAGGCGTGAATTAGGGCTTTTCTCTCTTCGGGATCTGGCTGATTATTAGTAGCACCTTTTTCTTGCCTCATCTGATCTCTAATTGATTCTTCTTCCCTTTTCCTGATCTGCTGATGGATCCTAATCATTCTGGCAACTTACCATGTTTCCCCTCTTCACTCCTATAAGTTCCTCAGGACTCTCGTCTCTTCAGTCACTCATCCTTCCTCTTCGAAAACACTCTCTTCCAAGTATTCACTCAATCATGGTGCTCAACAATGCTCAACTCCATCCTGCTGTTACCTTCTCCAACAAGGTATTCAGAAAGGATAACGAATACTCTAGGTATGTGCGTCGCTTCCGCGATCGTGCAATCTATCCATCCTTCACTATCCAACCCTCTGCCTTTTCACGGTATGATCTGGATATTCCTGCCTTGATTCGCAATCTTGGTTGGAAATCTTTGTTCGAAGATCAACGTTTTACTTATTGTCCGGAGGCTGTGAGATTGTTCTATGTCAATCTCAAACGTGAGTCAGGACCAGATCTCTATTCGTTCAAAACTACTGTTGGTAACTTTGAGATTACGGTCACTGCAGATCTGCTTGCCAGTGAAATAGGGCTGCCACATGACGGCCTCAGGGCAGGTGATGATTGACAGTTTTGTGACTATGATTTCGATTATTGTCATGTCCAGGATGATCTTGTTCACGATATTGGCCGCTATTTTCCCAATTTGCACTTTGCTGGTCGTCTTCCTGATGATTTGTGCGTCCTGCACTTCTTCATCACGAGGATCCTTCTTCCGAGATCCCTCTCGAGTGCGACTCTCCTTCATACCTCCGATCTCTCGATCCTTCATCATGCCCGGTCAGGACGGCGTATCAGCTATGCGTCACTGGCATTCTGTCACCTGGTCCAGTATGGAGATGACAACAATGATGGATGGTTGCCTCTGGCGCCTCTTATCACACAGTTGCTCCGAAAATTGGGCATCGATCTTCGCGATAAGATCACTCTCTGCAATGTTCATGATGATCTGAAGGCTCAACATGTCCTTGCTCGTTTAGATGCCAGTGTTGGTCCCCGAAAGCCTTTCACTGGCTCAGGGGGAGAAGCTGCTACTTTGATAAAAGCCTTGGTGTCTGCTGCAGAGGTCGTGATCGATCGAGAACTCATTGGTTTTTCCAATGAGTTTAAAGGGAAGCGCAAGATACCTTTGACTTCTCTGGCCTCTCTATCTACCCGGTTGAAACTACTCAAGGATGGAGGGCGTGCAAGCACTTCCAGAATCAGAGAGGAGGATGAAGCTGTCGAAGAGCCTAAAGACAATGCTGACATCTCTGACTATGACTCTCCTCCTCACTATCCCTTCTAGAAGGGTTTTGAGCCTCCTTAGGATTCCGTCTAGTATCTAGGTCTATGTTATCTAGAGCAAAAGCATCCCTAGCTGCCCGCTTATTGTATTTCAATTTTCTTAATGAATAAAGTGGCATCTTGAGTGAAAATTGAATCATGTTTGTAGAACAGGCTGCACCGACTTGTTTGCTAAGTGTGTGCAGGTATAAAACTAGGAAATAGCAGTTAAAGAGCCATTGACTAGCTTAGAGGGAGCATGTTGAAAGAAGCTTGTAAATGGCTCTGCTCAAGCAATTCAACGGGACAAGGGATCGATTTGGAAAGCTTGCCAATGCCTCTGCTTAAGCAATTCAACGGGACAAAGGATTGATTTGGAAAGAAATCAAATCAGCCTACCTTACCTTTTCTACTCACAGGCCAGAAATGGTAAAATCATCAAAGAGACGTTGGGAAGCAAGAGTATAAGAAGATACAGAGTATGGGGTCAATCAGTACCTTTTTCAAGCAAACAAGAAGGAATGAGCAGGGAATTAGCTAAAAGTCTTGTTGAGAAAAAGAGAGCAGATCAGGGTGATTGCTTAGCTAACTAGGTGTACTGTGTCGCAGTCTTGAGTGAGGGTACAGTCTGGTTAGGGTGATTTACCAGCAATAGGCTGAGAGTTCTAGTTCAGAATTGTAACAAAGAACTTGAGGAAACAAATCATTAGTCATATGTTGAAGGTCTTAAGAAGAGATCCTTCAACCGTGGATTAGTCGATACAGGGATTCTTATTCTCCCTGTGCTGGATACCACGTAAAAATTCTGTGTGTTATTGTTCATTCTTTTTCGGTTGATAATCTTGTTGTGTGCTTGTGAGTTCTGTTTGGAACAGGGGAGGTTTGCCAGAAGCAGAGTGTAGAAGGAGTATCAATCTACCCTTCTGACTATCTGTGTTGAGGGCCTTACTTACAGGGCTTTCAAAATCATCTTTTTGGGCCGGAACTTGGAAATAAAACAAACAGGCCCATTATTCATTCTCTGCCTAATCGAAGATTGAACACTTCCCTTCCTTCGTCTTTCATTTAGTTGCAAATCAATTTCACCATCTTACTACAAGTTTTCTCTAGGGTTTTTGAATTTCAGTAAGAAAGTACAAGAAAATCGTCTCCGATCTCACGCTCGACCTCCCCTTACAAAAACTCTCTTACAAAACACTTAAACTATACATAATTTGATGTTGTTGTCATGGTATTGTATGTAATCCTAAAGTCTAGTAATTGTCCAAAATATTTTGGTTTAGTAAATACGCAGACCCATTTAATTTTTGACCCATAATGCTTTGGTTTGTTGTCACATGGAAATAAAATAGGGAATCACGAAAGTTTGGTTTAGTTAGTTGCATGGAAGTATAAATAATTTTGTATATTAGGTGTATCATTAATTGGTTAATTGGTTTCATTGGTTAGTAGTGTTGAAACCAAACCAAACCATCTAAACCAAATAAGCTAAATTGTTTAACCAAACCAGACCAATTATTCAAATTAACCAAACAAAATTAACCGAATTCTACCGGTTAATATGGTTACCACGGTAACCAATCCGTTTGAACACCCTTAGGAGGCGGGCAAGGAAGCAAGCAAACTGAGCTCATATGAACGCAAGGATTCACAGAAGATAGGGCTGAAGCTTATACAAGTAGTTTACTCTAGATCTGGTAAAATGGAAGACCTATCTCATGCTTCCCGATGAAGGGAGTTCATGATTCTGAAACCTTTAATAGCCTGCTTTTTATAAAGGGCACACCCAGCTGACAGAGGATTACATAGGCGGACAACAAACGAAGTACACTATGCATCTCCGTTAAATTTTGCAAGACAAAAGAATCGCGGATATACGCATCATACACACAAGCGTCCAGGATCATTTTGTGCTGCAACCTTTATGAGGAGACAGACTTTCACGCATAGGTAAGTAACTTGGCAAACCAGGGTTTTGCTACAATTGTAGTACCTGAAATCTAACCGTGAACTAGCTTAGCTTATAGCTTGAGGGCTTGGCTTCAGAGGACTCCAAAAAGACGCATCTTGACACTAAACTATGGGCGGTTCTCGCTCTCTCTCGCCCCCCTTCCGCTGTACATTGTCTTTATAAACCAACCTGCCCTAGATAAGATGAAACTTTCCATCAGAATTCAGAATTGAGACAATTGTACAGAAGTTAGACCACGTTTTAATAAAACTTTATATGCTGTCTGCTTACCCTGAATGAATTGCACCAACCAGTAGTCTATTTAGAAAGCGTGGCAGGTAAAGCAGCCGCTTAGCGTACCCATCTGACGGGTTCTGCGGAAGGATACAGTCTTGTCAGAAGACGTCCTTGAAACTTGGCGAGCCTGGTCGGATAGAACGGAACTTCTCATGCCTTGGGCTCTCTTCTGTGCCGATCTCAGCTTGTTCATTATCTTGTCCATGGATGAAGACCTCTTCTTCTCAAGCTTCATCTAAAAATTGAAATGCAGTTTTTTAGTTAGTGGTCACCCAGTGAGGCAAGCTTGATCTGACATTGTAAGAAAATTATCTGGGGAAGAAAACAAACCTCAAGCTTTCTTATCGCAGCTTCAGCTTTGGCCTTCTGCAGGCTCTCCCATGCTGAGATTTTGGCTTCCTCTCTTTGGGCTCTGGCGAACAGCAAGAAACTAAATTGTTTAGAATTTTATAGCAAATAGAAGTGCAATCTCAAAATTCACTGGCCACACTGGAATACTCACTTCGATATGCTTTTAGCGGTATCTGAAATATCCCAAGCTGATGAACGACAATCAGCAACTTTCTTTCTCCAATCATCAACGCTTTCAGAGCCCTTACTATGGTTGCTTCGGCCCCTATGCTTTCTTGACCACCTCGTAACAGTGACCCTTTCATCTACCTCCACATCCCTAACATCTGATTTAGAGGACCGGGCACTTTGCACTTCCACGATAGGCAGATTAGCAGAGGAAGGAGTGGAAGCCATGAACGACACCCTTTTGCTTGGAGATGAATGGTTGCTGCTTGCAGGGCTCATTTGAGTTGCCATGTCTCGTCTTGAAACAGCACGGGATACATCAGCAGCAGCATCTTTCACACTATCTACTCTACTATCCTCTGTACATTTTAAGATCATAAAGCAAGAGACAACGATTCAGTTAATGCACAACAAGATGCATACAAAATGCCTATCTCTAATCACCAAAGATGTGTGTATAGCAAGTGCCGTGATGTTGGTTTGGTTCGATTTGCGAGTTACCATCTTCGTAAATTTCAATTGCACAAGAGGATGAAAGGGGGGTGAAATTGAAAGCATACCTTGATTAGCCAAGGAGTTATTATGATTAAACGTCTCAGAGCAGCCATGGACGCTAACAGAACGAGCCATGCAAGGCTCTAAGCGAAGAGGGAAGGCAACTCTCTGGCCATTAGAACGAGAAGTAAATCCATCAGCAGCAATTACACCGGCGGAGAATGGAGAACCAACCGTGAAATTCTTCAGATTCCCGCCGTCAATTACAGGAACCGCCGGCGAATATAGCGAATAATAAGCAACGCCGGGAGGTCCCAACGGCCCGCTCTTGGACTTGGGTTTTCTTTGAGGCTGCTGAACCGACGTCCTGACAATACCATCTCCAGAGACGGGGCTAAAAATCCACCGCTCGGCGTCCTCCCATTTCGATGGCAGAGTCCTCCCGTTATTGAAAGGGAACATCACGCCACCGCCGCCGCTCTGGCGTCTATTGCTGCCGGCATGCAGCGGCACTCTCTCCGAACTCCAACCTTTCTGCATCAATCCGACGCTTGCGTGGCGGTAGTTGGGGGTTCCGGGGCTAGGAAACGTCCCGGACTTGCGAGAAGACGAGAGCGAGCTCTTAACCACGGCGGCAGCTAATCGCGGCGAGGAAGCGGGGACGACATTGTTCAAATCTAGCGAAGCAGGTCTCCTTCTGTCGGCCTTCTTCGTGACAGCTTCAGATCTGGATCTCCGATCTTGACACTCTGCCGCAACGAAACAAAAAGCTCTGAATGAGAGAGAACTGCAAATGCGAGCCAAAATGAAAAAAAAAACCTTATAGGAAAGAGGAGCTCCCCTGATGTACCTTTGAGAGCGAGAGAGAACGAGCTCCTAGCTGAATCCAGCAAGTGACTCTCGGCCTCTTGTGCAGAAATAATAGCAGCTGTGTCGCAGTTGTGGTTATCGTCCTTTTGTTGAGCCGCTGCATTTGATTGGAAAAGGAAAGCAGAAAACAGTAGCGCAAAAGATCAAACATGTGGCGTGCATTTTCGAATTCACACCAAAAGGAAATAAAAATCCCCCTCCTAACATCTATCTTTGTCTGTTCTCGTTTGGTTGCTTTCGGCCTTTCTTTCACTTGCTAGCTACTTTCCATCCGTTTACTCGGAAAAGGTTAAAAAAGAAATCTCGTCGTCAAGCAGCTGGAGAGAGTACCTTTCACTTTTTCTCCCTTCCTGGACGAAAGCCGCGCAGCCTCACCGCCGGCGAGCTTGTTCTGGTTGGTCTGTAGCACACCGGCCTTGCTTGGATCTGGATCTCGCCGGTGATCTGGACCGCTCCAGCTGTCCAGCTGTTGTTCGAGCTCACCTCCTCCACTCACTGCCAAATGCTGCATCGGAGAAAACGGATTCAGCCTCTAGGAAACGAAGGAGAAGTAGTAGATTGAGTTAGTCGTTAATCACCAGTGAGAAGTCGGAGGCGGGGGAGTCGTTATCGTGAGCGTCGGAGGCGAAGGAGCAGCGGTCGACGCTGGCGGAGGCGGAGGAGGAGAAGAGGCTGAAGTTGGAGGAGTCCTGCGTGAAGATGACGGAGTCGGGGCTGGCGTCTCGGGCGCTGAACACGGCGGCGGAGGCGGAGGAATGCTGAAGGTGGAGAGAAGGTTGTGCAGCTGCTGCTGCTAGCTCCGGCATTTTTCTGATCTGCGAGGAGGATTTAAGCTTTCTTATTATGCTGTGTTGCTTTCTTCTTGCTTTCACATTCTAAAGAGATCGAGAGAGGGACGGAGCGAAGAAACCGGAAAGCGAGATGGGGTGTGTGACAGTGAGAATGATGGATTTGGATTTGCAAAAGATTCCGGTCGTCCGTTGATTTTGGCTTGTGGAGGATGCGACGAGTACGAGCGTGACCGGGAGAGGGAATTAATTTTTTTTTGTGCGGGGAGGAGGGTCATTATTATTGAGACAACAGACCACATGAATAAGACAATTTAATTAATGATTTAATTCAATTTTCTTTTCAGAGGAAAAAATTAAATGCATTAATTTTCTTTCTCGGCGTAAATTATTTCTTCCCAAAAATGTTATATTCGTGGATTTCTAGTTTTCTACGAAGCTGTTCCCGTCACGTCAGCATATTAACCGGACTCGGTTGACCGTAGACGGGGACCGTCAATTGACTGCGCTTGGGAGAAATGGATGGTCGATTAAACCGTACCGGCGGTTCAACCACAAAAAACCAATATCGGAGGCTAACCTGATAGGAGGTATTTAACGGTATTAACGGTTGAACTACGGTTCAACCACGATTTTACCGTAAAATACCCTACTACTAACTAGGGGTGAACAAACACACCTGCAAACCAACCCACCCGTCCAACCCGACCCAACCCACCCGTATTTATCGCTAAAATGAAGGTTTTTGGTTGGGTGAGGGTTTTCTTTTGTACAACCCGCGTCTTTTGGGTTGGGTTTGGATTTTGGATTACACAACCCGTAGAAACCGACCCAACCCGTGTTCCAAATATTAGTATGAGTTCGGATCTAAAAACAAGACATATGTTGAAGTAAATCACATTTTATTAAAATTTAAACAACATATGTGAATTTTCATACCTTTCACCTTGGTTCATTCGTTTGAAATTTTAATTAGTTATAAAATATTTTTATGATGTAGAATAATTATATATTTTATGTTGGGTTGAGTTTTTACTTAAAAATATCGTCAACCCGACCCAACCCAATTAGAAACAACCTTAGAGTTTAAATTTTTTTGGGTGGGTTTGGGTTTTATATTTCCCAACCTGTAGTGCATGGGTCGGGTGATTAAAATGACTAAACCCGAATCACCCGATCCATGTACACCGCTACTATTAATTTTTCCGGTACGGTGTCCGATACGGTTTCATGGACCAGAGAGAAAAGAGAGGGGAAGGGAAGGAAATGACGGTAGGGTCCCGCGATAATGAGCTTGGTCCCTCGGCCCTCGCGGGTCTAGGTGTTAATACTCGGATTATAGTGGTAAAACATAGGAATTAGAAGTATTGCTATTAATTAATATGTTAATAGTTATCGGATCTTGCATGCATTTATTTAGTAAAAATGTTGCTGTGTACGAATATATGATTCTGAATATTATGAATTAAGATGTAAGACTATCTCCAATAGAAGAGTTAAAAGAAACAAAAAGATCATATTTTGATCTCAATAAATTAACGATTGTGAATCGTATCAGAAGTTATGTAAGAAAAGTCAACGGTAGGATATTATGAATTAAAATCGTAGTTGAACAGTTTTATATTGTTAAAATATCTTATTGTTTGGAATTTTATATCTAATATTTCCAGTCCTACCGACCGATAAAGGATTTCCTTAACATTGCGATAAACCAGTGTCTTAGAAGTGATAATTTGTCTTATGATTGAATTTGGCTCCCAACGATTAAAGTTCAGATTCTCAATGTTTTACGTTTTTGTGATTGATAATGTCATATGTATTTATAGACGGAAAAAGTTGTGTGAAAGTTAATAACAATATATATCAAAATATACATTTTAATCACTAGTTATATAACCATCGAATTATCTGAATAAAACACTCGACTAATTTTGTTCAAAGCTTTTCTTTTTCTTCTTTTTCATTATTATATCATTTGTCATTTTGCAACTCTCCTATTGGAGATGGCGTAAGTGCGAAGAACATAGCCGAAAGGGTCCCAGATAGTCAAGACAAGGCGGGGGGGCAACATTGACATTTGCGTTATTGATCTTCGTTCTTGCTCTTTCGTTTTCCTTTGTCCACAAGCGGTGGCATCTCTGCATGAATTGAATGATGATAAGTAAGTGGCGCGGGGGCAACAGAAAAATCTGAAGACAGGTTTTGGGAGGACATACATACGGCATTTCATGTCGGGGAGAGAAGAAATAATTTGAGGGGCGGTGTCCGTTATGCACTGATGTGATTTCTTTTCTCTTATTTCTGGGGTATGCTGTTTTTTTTTTTTTTTTTTTTTACCGTTACGGAGAAGATGACAACGGAACGGATGAAACTGAGCCTGGTGTTGCAAAATAATAATACACCAAACTTGGGTTGGAGAGTGCTTAGCGAAGGTTTTGTTTGGATTTTGCGTGGGAAATTTCCTCTTTTCAAATTAGTTGTTCAAACAACGTTTGGGTCTATATGGATGGGCGGGCTATTTTAGCAGTTAAATAATTGGTTCAAAAGAAAGGATAGGGATGGGTTAGTTCTATATACTAATTAATAATTATATATTGGGGTTTGGTTTTTATGAAAGCCATAGGTTGGTTAATGGAACAAAACTAATGGCATTTGGAATGCAATGTTTTATTCATAATATAATGATTCATCTCCGTCCGTATCTATTTACATTACGTAATTTTCTTTTTGATTGAGCTTCGAACAAATACTATGTACGCCAATAAAAAAATAAAGAGTAAAATATTGTTCATCTCTCGCTATCTCATCCCTCCAATTTGATTGTGTTCCCCCATCACACCATTGAACTGATATTAGAGTCTGTCTAGTTTTTTCCATCAATAAAAGATTAGAGCTATAACTAGTTCAAATTAAAGGCGAGGCAACAATGATGATGCCAAGTAATTATAATGATGTGAATCCCGGGAAAAAAGAGAGAGTGGCAGTAACGCATTTTTTTTTTTTTGCTTTCGCAGAACCCTAAGATAATGGACGACAACAATTGATTATTAACTGGGGGCACAAATTAACTTATAGGCTTCCTCCGGATTAGCCTCTCTCGTGCTTGTTGCATAATCCTCCTTTTAATCCCCTACTTCTCTTTGGTTAATTACTTGTGCTGGAAATTAACATAGCAATAGGGATGGCAACGGCCCAATTTGAGGCGGGTATCACTAAACACACGCTCTGTCCCGCCTTGCCTCATTCTCTGTGATCGGTTTATTGATTTCGTCCAATTTTCATCCTACCATGTTTATGATGTTGAGCAGCTAGTGTCGTCGTCGGAATTGCCAAGCAGCCACCATCCCATTGCTCCCAATCATGGTTTGATAGGACGGGAGGACGGCTATACCCATGCCCCTACTGTTTTACGTATCGATCGGATTAAGACCCTCCCCGTTCTAGCACGAGTCGAGTTATTATCTACCCCATTACGAAGTGGCGTGGGAATAGCCATTGAGGCGGATCTGAATTACCACCACTACAAAGCAACTAACAAAAAAAATATAATAACAATCATCTTATTACAACCTAATTACACATGTCTCCGCCATGGAAAGTGGAGGTACTACAATCGCTAGCATAGCATTGAGAGTTCTTTATAACCGATCTCGTGCCAGCGTGAGAATGATCAAAAGGCACGTGCCGTGCCCCCTCTTTTCTCTTTCGAATCGGAGGATCAATTTGTAATTCTGTACATTAGCAATTCCTTTCTGACACATGCATGCAAATGCAAATCACGAAACCAACCACCCTGGATCCCTCTGTATATAGAATAAGATGCGTGCCTACAGTTGTTCGTTATAGTCTAGGGCCGGCCAATCCTTCTATATAGACATGCTAAGATCGGTCATTAATTAGCTGTTAAAAGAGGGTTAGCGTTAATTTCCAGCCCAGTTGTTGAAAGTCAAAACACATGGAATTATTCCACTTTATAGCAGCTGCGGCTGCTGCTTTTGCTTTTTACCTGTCCACCGTGCTCCCAGATTGAATGAAATGCGATTGTCATCAGTTGGAAGGAATCAAAACTCTTCTCACTTGTACTGAGGGGTGTGCAACAGTTCGGTTCGGTCCGGACCGGACCAAACTCATGAGAACCGCGATCCATTAGTGAAAGACATGTTAGGACCAAGGATCGGACCATTTTTGCATTTGGTCCGGTTCGGTCCGGTCCAAATATGAGCTCGGTCCACCATTTCTTCAATAATTATAAAATTCATGAGGACCAATGACCGGACCACATTTTACTCAGTCTGGTTCGATCCAGTCTTAACAACGGTTTGGTCCGGTGTGGTCCGGTACGGACCGGACAATTGCACAGCCCTACTTGTACACAACAAGATTGTAATCCTGGCGTTAAGTTGTCAAGTCAAGACTTAATTCGAGTGAGATTTCACATTTGAATCTATCCTTTCACAAAGATTCTTCTCAAAGTACCATCAAATCCGTATAAAAAAACAAGATGAAGGTAACAAAGTTTATGGCTGAAACTAGGCCTGACCCGTTGAAACCAGGGGCGGACGCATGGGTGATTTGGGAAAACGATTATCCAATTCCCCGTTGGTAAATAACGTATGGATAAAAATATTATAATTGATAGTCGGGACACTCTTGAAATTTGAAAAAATAATTATCCTAGTCTCATCTTATAGTTCGAGACTTCGAGTAATTCAAACCCATGACACTATTATTATTAATAAAAATAATTATCTTTAGACTAAAACTCATTTTTTGTTTGATTATAAACACTGTGTAATAGTAAAATGTCATTCCCTATCTCTAATTATTTTCAAAACCTAACCATTAAAGAAATTATTTTAAACAATGTTGTACGACAAGTGTTGAAAGAATCTTTTCAAATTTGAGTCTTTTTATGGGTCCGCCACTGGGCCCGTCGCTGCAGGACCAATTTATAGAACTTACGAGCTCTGCTCCTGTTTCCTTTTTTGTCTGACCCTTAAGGGTCGGGACCAGCCAGTGAGTCGGCCCAAAATCAACACAGAAATATCTGAAAATTAAATTTTTGTACCCAAATTTATGTTTTCTTACAATGTAGTACCTATTTTTTTTTTTTTTTACAAAATAGGTCCATAAATATTGGTGATAAAGTTACAATTTTATCACATTTGTATTATTTTAGCTTGCAATTATAGTACTTAAACTTTTAAAACTTTACAAACACATCCAATGTATTGGTACAAGAAATTTCATCACTAGTTGTTGCTGTGTCATATAGGATCAAAAAGTAACCCGATACTAAGTTGACCCAATTTTATCCGACCTTACAAGATTAAAAAATGACCAGACTCTAAACTAACCTTGTAAACAAATAGACGCAACCCGATCCTCGTCGTCCAGTCGGGTCAGTAGGTATCTAGGAATTATCATAATGAACTGACCCACCAATAGAAATTTTAAAAAGAGTAGCAGCCGTGCCGGCCAGGTTGTCTTTCATAATGAACTGACCCAACCCAGCCTCAGCCTCAGGTCGTTTTCAGGATTCAATTTCCTAACAAGACCCTCGCACCACACCACACACAAAAACAGAGAGGCCCTGACAAATGTTTGACTTCTCCAAACAGAAACAGAGCACAATCAAATGTGTATCCATCCGTTTCAGCTTCATAACCAAATGCTCCAACCACTGCATTCATAGCATAGCTGCTTTGCTTTCGCCTCCGTAACCATTGGTTAACTATTTGATAACTGCTTACTTTATGCTGTCTATCACTATACCTATCTATGGAAACAGAGGGTAAAAGGTCAAAGTTCAGAACTTATTGAAGCCCAGAAGGTAGATGGTCCCTATTTAGCTTAATGGGTTAGTTGACCATCAAAGCTCCAACCCTTAATCCCAACCCAAAAGGAAAACTACACTAATGTCAACGTTTTGATTAACGACCCACATGCAAGTTACAACACAGAAGAAGCTGTCAAAATAGATGGGGTAGCTTTACAACTTCGAGCTACAGAAAATCTTCAACTAACTAGTACTAAACTAGAGGGAGGCACTAGGAATTATAAAAACAACTTGGCAACTGCTTAACAAGAATAGAAGATGTAGCTAATTTAGGTGGGAATTTAAACACTTGTTGTACCTCCTACGATGATAGGTTGACGTCCTCCTTCCTTGCTTCCTTTACCAGCCTGCCTGGCATTGACATTCCGATTAAAGAAGCTTCATAAGAAACTCAAACAGAGAAGTCATAACAAAATCGTATGGGTATATACACCCACCTAATTGGTTTGCTTGTTAATCTGAACAATGATGAATTTCTAAAGTTGGCTGCTTTCCAAGAATTTGGTTTGAGCACGAGTTTTCCTTACAACCAGTACGACAGCAGCTTCTCACACAAGTCCATAAGTTACCAAAGCTACTAGCCTACTACCACTGGTATTCACCTTCAGCCGCTACTTGTTAAATGTTATGCTTAGATATAATGGCAAATTTGGAGGTGTATCCTCGAAAGTCAGTGCTAAATCAAGTGGGGTTTTATCGTCCATGAACTGCTGTGTCGCGGAAGTAAGCTGTTACTGCTTTCAACCTGCCATTCAAGAAGTTCTTCTCTACCTGGAACCATGGCAAAATACTTTAGTAAAGAGAAGAAACTGTAATAGGGTTTCTTCCTACATCAAGAAATACTAAGCCGAGGGAAACTGGAAAGTGAAGCAAAGTGGGGGGAAAAGGTGATGATGTATGTACCTCTAAAGACCAAGGGGGATTAGCAGATAGAGCCAACTCAGCCAACTGATCTAGATCGACATTTTTTGGGAGGAACATTAGAATTTTTGACGCAAGTTGCTTTGCAGTGTTGAAGAGAATATACCTGTATAAGTACACAGAAGATCAGAGAGGATAAAGAGCTACTTGAGTATAGGGACAGAAAAAGTTCTAAATAAGATAATACCCATCGTGTGGTTTAAGCATATTGATGTCATAAGTCTCCATTTTAACATAATCCGGGCCACCCCAAGGTGGCGACAGAAACACAGTGTCAGCCAGCTCCTGCAAAAGAGAAAGGTATCACATAGGGATAGGGTACTAGCAGACTGGGAAACCACACATGAATATGAAAATAACTAAATTCAAATGAGAATGCACAGATGCAAGTGAAATAGCAAATGTAACACATTATCTATACGCTGTTATAACAACCAGTGCCAAAGTTATTTCTTGATATAAGAAGATACAGCCCCCTGCTCCCTTACAAAAGAAGTCAACAATTCTCGAACACTCATCAAAGCAAGTGCACAAATCCTCAAGCAGCAGAGATGAATCATGAAAGTCTAACCTCACAAGAATCGGGAAAAGGAGGAAACAAAAAAAAATGACTAGAAGTAATTTCATGTGGAAGCCAGAATTACCCTGAAACTTTAAGGTTTATAGAGGTAAAAGTGTGTAGAAATAAAACACATTATATATCCATATCTTACCATACAAGCCAGAAAGCCAAACTTGTTAATGTGCATAAAGTTATGGTTTTACTACCTTCAGTTTTGGTGCCAAATTGAAGAAGTCCCCCTTTATGAAATCTATATGGTCATCAACTTCATAGATGGTAGCATTGTGATGGGCATAGTCCATCTTTTGTGGATCTATATCAATTGCAATAACATGTTGGCACCTGAAATATACAAAAAAAAAAAAAAATTCGCATATCAACAAGAGCGCCAGAAGTCAGATACATATCTAATAAACCTTCGTCAGTTAAAGTAAGGAGATCTTATATTCTGAGAAATCCTAAAAGGCCAACACGCATCAGTGCATAGTTCTCCAGGTAATTGCCATAACTTGTGAAACAAATGAGAAGAGGATAATCTTACAGCATTACAGAATTCCATCAATTAAAAGTAACTTCACATTAAAGAGACGAGGAGAACAAAGCACCAACCACTGAGCAAATTGGATAGCATTTCCACCAACTCCCGCGAAGCAGTCAATAACAATGTCATCAACACAATGCAGAGCATGATGCCCAGCTATCAGCTCAGGTGTTACAGAAAACCACCCTTCCTCATCCATTATTATACCGTCATCAAATCTAGAGAATAGAAGGTATCGCTGACACCAGTACTTCTCAAGAGAGGCAGAAAGCTGCTCCGGAACAACTTGACTTTGGAGATCTGTTCAAAGCAAACCAGTGATCATAAGAAGACTGAATGACCAAGACATGACCCCACTCATACAAAGTATTGAACTGATAAGTCACACAACCACCTCAACTTATTTCGAAAATAGACCTCCATATCGTTTTACTTTATTCACATTTCATTATGACACGAATGAAAAATCTGAACTTTGGTCTTGGCAAGTAACGAAAGCTGTGTGGTCAGTCTAGGCACTAATTGTGATTAGCAAAAGTAACTTTTCATAAGCCAGGAATACGGCATTGTGGATTAAAAACACATGCTGAATACAGGATTACCGACCTATTTAAGTGCAGTTACAGTATTAAAACCAATGTCACTACAGACAACATTTCTTTCACAGGCAATAGAATTGTTTATACAATGAATCAGAAGAAGAACAGGAATTGGTAGAAACTGAAACAAACAGGAGAGAGAGAGAGAGAGAGAGAGAGAGAGAGAGAGAGAGAGAGAAAGGCAATTGACCTTCACTATCCTTGGAAGATCTACATCGTGTTCTCTTCCTTCTTCCTTTCCTATGTCTTTTGATAACAAGAAAATCAGGTTCGGTATCCGGCTCATCATTCTCAGTGTTTTTATGTTCCTTATGCTTATCAACATCCACAGTGAGATCATCGTTGATCACACTAGCAAGGTTGAAAACAAGACAGATGTCAGCATTTTTTTCCGTAGAAGACATGCTGATAATTGTAGCAATTAGCATTCATCCTAGCTTCTTAGAGATAATTGCGATAACAGTGGTAACTAGATAACTATAGCTTAACCCTGATATGAAATCAAGGCTCCCAAAATGAGATAAACCACAAAGATATGTATTACCTGTTAGTATTGCCATGCTCCTCCAATGCCGTTTGCTGGGGAATATCACCAAGACAATCTTTATCATTGCCCTCCTGTTCGCCTGCATTCTCCAAACAGCCATTGATGGTCGAGAAAGTCAAGCTTAGCAAAGTGCTTACAGAAGCAAGTCCATCCCCATCACATACCTCATTGGATGGCTTATCTGCTATTCTACTATCATTAGCAGGTTTCTCAAATGATCCAGAACACTTCAACAAGCCACAGGAAACAGAAGGATCACCGTCTATCCCATAGTCTCCAACAATCACTTCATCTGACTCATTAGTACGACTAATGCATACAAGATGCTCCATTCCAGGGGGTGGGGACCATGTAGAGCTATTTGTTTTTGCATTATAGAAGTAATTCCTCATGTAGAAAGAATCCCAGTATACCGCCCAATCCCCAAAAGCACCATTCTGGTCATGACTCTCTATCCCATTATCTCCAAGCACTTCTGAACCCTGAGGCACTGCAGCCATAGAAAATTCAGGCCACTCCATGTGGTTCTCGCACTCTTGAAGATTGTGAACAACAGGGTAGTCATGTAGGCAATCCTTCTCCATCAAATCGACAACTTCTTTCGGGCCATCAACCATGTCTGGAGTCGCTGCATCTGAACCGCCCGAAATTGTATTCTTTTCATCATAGTCATCGTTAGTCATGTAAACAGTTCCTGATAGAGTCAGACCCCTCTCACGTTCACCACACTGATCAGCAAACATTGGCTCGGGAGGAACCTTAGTTGGACTCACGGAATCTTCAATACATAGATCTTTAGAATTGTTGGTATCCACAGAAATATCATAGTAACATGACTCACTCGTGCCCAGCATTGATATGCAACATATAGAATTGCTTTCGTTATCATGCAAAACAGTAGGAGATAGAGTCCCTGCTTCACTCACTTTGGAAACTTTCAATGATTCATTAGCAGTGGTATCATGATTGTGAGCATGCTTCATAACCGTCCCATTTCTTTTGCCTTTGTTGGTCTTATTCGTTATCTGCCAGTGCCAGCAACGAAATGGAACTAATCTTCAGTTGTAGGAAATAACAAGCTATGATAATGAACTTTATTGGAAGCTGACACCAGCATGGATGCCCCCTATGCCATTCCAGATATCCTGACCTAAGTTCCCCGCTTCAACCATTTGGTAAGATGGTAACACAGGATTTATTCATGATTCCCCACAACAATCTACAGGTAATCCACCTACAAAGCTTGAAAACTTCCTAGAGCATTACAGGTAACTAACTATCTGTACAGGTTAATCTCGAATTCTCAATAGTATACCTTTTTATTCGACTGGAAAGCAAGGGGAAGCCCTAGAGCATCCATTTGTTTGCTCAATTCCTCATCCTCCGTGGAAGGGACAAAATCTGAACAAAGAAAAGACCAATGAAATATCACCATCTCAGAGACAAATCGTCGAACAGTTCATTCACCAAGAATGCATTAAAGACAAAGCGTGAAAAATCTCCTAAAATGTTCCCCGCCCTTACTACAACTACATACCAGTAGCAACTGCAGGGCTATCGGAGGTGGTATCGTCCTTCTCTGGAGGCGATTCCTGTGTCCCAAGCAAACAAAAAATAAAAAGAACTCATCGCCGTCAATTACCAGAACACACAAAAAATTCCAAATTGCCCCGGAACTGAAACCAGAAGCTCAACAGACACGAGGTAACTCACAATGGATTCCGGAAATATGGACACTTCTACCGTCTCCGTCGAGCCGTCGCCCCTGCACAGAGAAGTCGATATTCGATTAAAGCGAAGCATGAAACGGTAAGTTTTCCGGGGAAGAATTCACAGAAAGGGAAAACGGAGGAGGGTAACCATATGTAGACTTCAGTAAGCTTGAACAGGGATCCGAGAGCTCGAATAGCTTGGAAGCTTGACCTTCCTTCTTCACCTTCCTCCATCGCTGTCGGCGATGGGGACGGTCAGCTCAAGTCAAGAGGAAAACTGACCGACAGAAGCCTACTGGCGCGACCAAGGCGAATTCAACTCCGTTTTGAAATACGCCCGTCTCGAATTTCTTCAGCAGTTCAGCTTAAATAGTTTGAATTATTACAGAATTAATCACCAAATTTTTGGTAACTAACAAATAAGCCATTAAACCTTAAAACGGCGCCGCTTAATCATTCCAGTCGAGAAGAGAGAAAAGAAAATCCTTTTCTCGCGTAGAGCGAGCACTGTAAACGAAATCTGGTCACCGGTGAAGCAGTAGAGACGGAGGGCTCAGTGGCCGACTATAAATCGGAGCGATGATGGAGGACGGCGAGATAGTGGAGGCGGTCGCCATGGACGAAGACTCGCAGCTGCTCAAGAATGGGAAGTCAGCCTACGACAGGCTTCGCGAAAGCAAAGCTTCAGTGGAGGAGATCGTCTCCCAGATTCTCTCAGTCAAAAAGGACGGCAACTCAAAATCCCAGCTCCGGGAGCTCGTTACCCAGACGTTTCTCCACTTTATCACCCTCCGCCAGGTCTGCCGCCGGCCAAAAAAAAACTCTCGGTTTTCGATCTCCTTTTGTGCTTTTTCTATCCGTCTAGGGTTTTGACTTTCGAACGGAAGAATTTTGTAGGCGAACAGGTCGATTTTGCTGCACGAGGATCGAGCGAAGACGGAGACGGAGAAAGCGAAGGCGCCGGTGGATTTCACGACTCTCCAGCTCCATAACTTGATGTATGAGAAGGGCCACTACGTGAAAGCTATCAAGGCTTGTAAGGACTTCAAGTCCAAGTATCCAGACATTGAACTCGTCCCTGAAGAAGAGTTCTTCCGTGATGCACCTGAAGATATCAAGAGTTCCGTCTTGTCCAGCGATGGCTCCCACAATTTGATGCTCAAAAGGCTCAACTACGAGCTGCACCAGGTAAACGCGCAGCAGAATATATTCGATTTGGGGTACTGCAATACGCTTGAAGTGAGTTTTGGACATGGTGGAATTCTGATTGCGAAATGTTGTTGGTTGAAATCAGCGGAAAGAGCTCTGCAAGCTTCGGGAGAAATTGGAGTTACAGAAGAAAAGTCTTGCGGAGATGATTGCTAATAGGAAGAAGTTTTTGTCAAGTCTGCCATCACACCTTAAGTCCCTCAAGAAAGCATCTCTGCCTGTACAGAACCAATTAGGGGTTCTGCATACGAAGAAGTTAAAGCAGCATAGTTCAGCAGAACTGCTTCCTCCTCCACTCTACGTGATTTACTCACAGTTGGTGGCTCAAAAGGAGGCGTTTGGGGAAGAGATTGACCTGGAAATTGTTGGGAGTTTGAAAGATGCTCAAACATTTGCTCGTCAGCAAGCAAATAAAGAAAACAGTAATGCATAGCTTGACTCTTTTGCCAAGTCTTCTCTGAGCTAGCAGTTATAGTTTCATAACTTGTCTGTACTTTGCTGTGCATTTAGTGCTCTACAAACTTGCAGTAGCCTAAGAAACTGAATTGAGATGTTATTGTAATTGTTCAGGTGCATCTGCAAATGTGGAGACTTTGAGGATGGAAGATGATGTACCTGATGATGAAGATGATGCCCAAAGAAGGAGAAAACGACCAAAAAGGGCACCTAGTAAGGAAAATCCTGATCTGGCAGGGGTTCATCAAGTTCACCCGCTTAAGCTCATTCTTCATATACTTGATGATGAGGCTTCTGATCCGAAGTCTGCAAAGCTCATTACTTTGAAGTTTGAATACCTGTTAAAGCTAAATGTTGTATGTGTTGGAGTAGAAGGGTCACATGAGGGAACTGAGAACAGCATTCTGTGTAACTTATTCCCTGATGATACTGGCCATGAACTTCCGCACCAGGTAAAGATATTCTCAGTTTCTTGTGGCATTCTTGCACTATTAGAAAGACATGATTCTCCTTTTGTTGATTGTTGGTTTATTTTCTAATATTGCTGTCATACTTTGGTTTCATTGCAGTCTGCAAAGCTCACTACCGGTGATAGTCTTTCCTTTGATGAAAAGAGAACTTCTCGTCCATATAAGTGGGCCCAACATTTGGCAGGGATCGATTTCTTACCAGAGATTGCACCGTTACTTGGTAGTCATGAAAATTCAAGTGGCGAAACGTCTAAAGCTGATGTTGTATCTGGGTTATCGTTATATCGACAGCAGAATCGGGTTGAGACAGTTGTCCAAAGAATACGCTCTCGTAAAAGGGCTCAGCTGGCTCTTGCGTGAGTCATTGTTTTTTATAGTTAGAGGGGTTTTGTGATCAAGGGCGTAGAATTGATAAACTTGAAAATCAACTGTATGTTGCTGAATGGCCAACTGGCATAGTAGCTCTTAAACCCTAGATTGCCTGCCTTGCACTGGTTGTTGTGGCCTCTATTCAAATAAAGTTTTTCATATTATAAGACATGTTAATTGCTTCGCAATTTGAGTTTTCCTTTTCCTTGCATCCTCCCTTTGCTATGATTTATAAACTAATCAGTTCATTAATGAGTTTTTGTTTAAAGTTTGGAATTCTCTGTTTATTGTGGCTTACAGGGAGCAGCTTGGTTCACTTATGAAGCTAAAGTGGCCTCCTCTGAATTGTGAAAGCATTCCTTGGGCTCTACATTCTTCTTTATGCAGTTTGGATGGTTGGTCATCAATAGGAACCCCACCTAGCCATCCTTCTTTACATACAGAGCAAGTTGAGGAATCCATGAATATTGACACCGATGGACGAACCGGCACTTCAAAGGGAGGGTTAGAAGGTGTGAGGGAAGATGGGGAGCTCCCATCTTTGCTTCAGGCTGGTTCCGCGATGGCAAACGATATGAAGCAGCTTACTAATACTTCAAAGGTATCATCCAGTGCAGAGCAGTCTAGGCAGCTGACTTTGATCTCAAAGACTGTTATCTCCCCATTTAGCAAGGGAAAATCACATAGCTTTAAGAAATACGATGAGGATTTAGATCCGACTTTGGATTTTGATAGTGATCATGACGAGCTGGCCACTAATGAGCAAGATAACGAAGATATGGCTTCTATTCAACGCCTTGAACTATCCTTGGATTCTTGGGTTGAATTTGGTGCTAAAGAGTACTCCCTTGTCTTGGCAAGAGAACTGAGTGAAGGCAGAAATGTGAAGTTAGAAGCAAAGGTACTGTGAAGTTCTATGAATTACAAGCAAATGCTTCAGTAAGTTAAGAACCCTTTTGACATAATTGCCCTTGTCTGCCATGGCAGATTAAGATCAGCATGGAGTACCCTCTTAGGCCGCCTCTGTTCTCCGTGAGCCTACTTACTTCAGAAGGAAGCCAAGATGAAGGCGACAATCGCTCTAGATCGTACAACGAACTTCGTGCAATAGAAGCAGAGGTGAGCAATTTTAAAGTCCTAGTTGAATGTATCTGGATGGATGTCAGAATATTTGGAAAAGGCTAATGTTTATCTTGTTGGGATTGATGATTTGTTAGGTGAACCTCAATATACTGAAGCTAGTGCCAAGTGATGAAGAAAACAACATCTTAGCCCATCAAGTTCGCTGTCTCGCCATGTTGTTCGACTATCTGATGGATGATGAAGCATCATCACCAGGTGAAAAGAATACCCATGTGGTTGATGTTGGTTTGTCCAAGCCGGTCCGTGGTATGATTCTTGCCAGGTCATATAGAGGAAGGGACAGGAGGAAGATGATCTCCTGGAAGGACATGGATTCCACATCTGGCAACTTGTAGACAGAATCTAGGGTTTCCTCTTTCAGTTTCATGTTTGTTGTCCTTTCAAATTCAGCAAATGTTGTATTCTTTTGCGATTAAGCTCCAAATTAGAGACTGCAGGCTGAAAGTAATCTTATCATTCATGATCTAAATCGATAGAAAAACCAGAACTTTGGAAAAAGATTGATCAACATGTTTTCTTTTCTATTTCACTGTAATTCTCGACGATAAAAGATTCGATAGAGGGATCATAGTAGAACAATGACAAGGATAAGGGGATGAACAAGAAATAATTTACAGACCAACAAAAACCCTCCCATCTTTTTTCTAACGGATATAAAGAAAGAAGGCCATGAATTTAATCAACTATTGGTCTGGTTAGCCTATGCACAAATCAGCAGCTATAAACCCATGATCTGGAAACAACTTCCAAACTACAGGCTACCATCCTCAGAAGATCATCTTCTCCCATGCACCAAAGCAACAACCCTTCTCCCCTCTCCCTCCCTATCCTCTATGTAACAGAAAAACTGTTCACCATGGACCGGTCAGTGTTCGTCGCAAGCACCTCCTCTTCCCTCCATTCTCCATGCTCATCATCTCCATCACCTGTTCAGCACACACCATCAAAACAAATTCCCAATGGATTAGAAAAAATGGCTAAAAGTGCATCTCCACATTGAAGGTCGGAAACTTTCAGAAAGGCACACCTGATTTTTCTGCACCTCCATGATTTTGTCCTGCAGCAAGCAAGCCAAAACCTCCATCATCAGCTAAGCTAAATAGGTTAACAGAGTGAAACAAGTTGATTCAGCAAAGCAAACAAACGAACATAGAGATTAACCTGCTTCCTCCTAAGTTCATCATTCTCCTCTTTTAATTTTGCAACTTCTGCTTCCAACTCCATAGTGTAAGCCTGCAGAAACCCACCTGTTAAGCCTCCATGAAACAAGAACCTGTTGTTAGATTGTAAGATGTCTCATTACCTGCTTACGAGCACGCGACCTAGCAGCTGACTCTCGATTCTTGATCATCCTTCTCTGCCTCCTCTCAACCACCTTCTCCACTGTAGTATTAGGTCTCCTCCCCCTCATACTTCCATTAAACACATAAGGAACAGGTGACACAGAAGAAGTGTCCCCATTGCTCTTCCCTATCCCATCTGACGAAATCTGGCTAGCCGGTGAAACCATCCCACCTTGCATCAACCCATTAGCACCACCAATCCCCTGCAGTGATAGCCCATAACCCCCTCCATTATTAGCCTGCTTTGGAAAGATCTGTGGCAGCGGCGACCGCTGCTGCTGTACCTGTGATTGAACTTGATTTGATCTGACGCCACCATCCACATTCACATTCAAATGCAAGTTCGATGCCGGTTGCATCGAAATCGGATTAGCGTTACCATTACTACTAATCAAACCCACCATTCCAAAACCATTGTTAGTGCTGTTGTGATTGCTATTCCCTTGTCTAGACAAATCAGCAAAGAAACCACCAGCACCACCTCCATTGCTTTGCTGAACCTTCCCTCCTACTGCTACATGTGTCTTATCACTACTATTATCTTCTCTAACGACACCAGCTCTCGCCAGAAACTCCTCCAAGGTCATTTCCCCTAAGGTCTGCTGCCTTTGTGGGACAACCTCATTTTTCTCAGTAGCTGCACCACTTCCACTACCGTACTCCCTCCATATGTCCTTCCACACATCATCCACCGTCTTCTGGCTCAGAGTCCTAGGCAGGGTTAGCGACCCCTGCCGCTGCAGACCGTCATGTACCGGCAGCGCCGCCGCCGCCGCCGCCGCCGCCATGTTCAGATTCTGATTCTCCTCCGCGCTCCATATGTTCTTGAGCAGCTCGTCCATATTCATCGACCCAAAGTCCTTCCCCGGAACACCCACCGTGCTTTGAAACTCGTCGAATGTCAAAGAGTATATTGACGACTGCCTTGCCAACGGGAAGTTTAACGGCGTCACCGGTTGCTGCTGCTGCCGGGCGGCGTCGGAGGAGGAAACGAAGTCGTTGGTGAAGTTCCTGAAATTCAAGTTCGTCCCCATTCGGACCCAACACGGTTAATTGAAGAGAATCTACAGAAAACCCTCTTCCAGGTCAGCTACAAAACCAAGAAAATTGAACGATCCAGAAGAGCTCCGATTACAGAAAACCCAACAAGGCTTGAGCTCTGGTACCCAAAATTGATCATAAACGCTTCTTACACAAACAAATTCGTACTGTTTACATATCTTCGAAACGGCAGAGGTTGATTTGGGAGGTGGGTGAAAACAGAAACGGGTCCAAGCTGATTGGCAAAAAGGGGAAGCAAGAAACCCAGGAGAGCAGGAAAAGGAAAGTGGGGGAGATTGGTGATCAGTTGGATTCAATAATGTAAGTCCACATTAGGAAAGGAAACGAGGCAAGGAAGCAGACGAATAAAAAGCCAAACAAACAAAGTTGTGGCCTGTGGGCATTAGCTAAAGAGATAAGTGCGATGGACATGGAAAAGAAAGGCTACAGCTTTGACATTTTCGAATTGGTTTCTCGAATTTTCTTCTGTGTTTTTGGGCTGAGAAATTCTCTGCTCTGTGTTTACTTTTTTTTTGTTGAACGGGAGCAAGCGGGGATGCGCCAAGTGTCGGCTGCCTCTACTTGGATTTTTGCTACCTTTTAAGGCATGTAAAGGGTTATGTTTTTTTTTTTTCTTCTTTATTTTTAATTTGGGTGGGGAAGTGAGTGATTAAAAAGGTAATTTAATTATTGAGTTTATTTAAATACTCTATGAATGGGCCAGCTGGGGGGGAGGCGTGGCCCAATGAATAGAAGGGTAGGAAATTTTGGCGTGACCTGCTGCCACTGTCAGAGTGCAAAGTGTAATGATCTGTCACCGTCCACGTTGCTTAATCTGGAACCGTTGGATTGCAGTGATTGAGGCTTGTTTCGTTTCGCCGCATATCTTTGCCTCTTGGAGGTGTTTGTTTGAAAGTTGAAACTGTTGCTTTATGTTTGGACAAAAATGTCAATATACAACAAATATATAGATATATATAGAAATATAAGCCTCTGTCTTGGTGTTTGCACTGTACGATGTCGTTTTGAACCTGTATACGGAAAATCCAAAGCTCAGCGATAAACTAATGATGATTTTGAACGTGATACAGGATTTTTGTGTAAGATTAGGGTGGTGGAGAGCGAGGCCGTGGGGAATAATAGTTGATTAATAATAGGATTAGGAAAGTACGGTCCGGATTAAGGAATGGCAGGATCCCACGCGCTTACTATAAATGTGAGGGGTGGATCTGGCAGTGAGAACGACGCGCGGGAGAATTTGGTCTGGGAGAGGATGGCAAAGAAATAAAAGAAAAGGAGAAGGTAGGGATTAGATAGATAGATTGCGCAAGAAGGAAAGGGGCTGGGAAGATGGAGATGATAGATTGACATTTGATACAAAGGCATATTCCAACTAACCAACTCTTTGTAGAGGGATAAGGATTTTAAATAATACGGATTGTTCGTTTTTTTGTTTTTCCCATATCAATCCAAAAGGTCAAGTGCACATTTTTGGGTACTACTGCTTAGAATGGGTGAGCTTGATTTTATTATTTAAAACTTTCCCGGTATTTTATACGAACACCAGATCGGGTCGTTTGGACGAGATAATTTGATGGGTTTCGAAACAATTTGTTGGTCAAAATTAAAATAGAATGTGGTATTTTGTGCATAAGCCAATTGGAATAACTCGTTTTGAGTTATTTGAAATATCTAGTCACTTCCAAATTTATTTCAAATAACTCATCTCCTCACCTCTTCTTTCACGACTTTTTTCCAGAAATACCACTGTTTAAAAAAAAAATTCCAAAAATACCACCCAACCCCAAAAAATTCCAAAAATACCACCTTTTCAAAAACCGCCACCCCACCCTGCGGTTTACACGAAAACCGCTTGTCGGGTTGCGGTTTTCTATGCAACTGTGGGCCTAGGGGGCGGTTACTTTGGACCAAACCGCTGGGTGGGGTGGCGGTTTGGCCCAAAACCGCCACCCCACCCAGTGGTTTGGTCCAAAAAAATTTTTTCGATCAACTCCTAACTTCGGCCGAAACTTCAAACGAACGTAACTTGCACTCGGGTATTCGATCGTAGCGATTTTCTTTTCATTTCGCATAACTTTTCAAGATCTACAACTTTTACTAGGATAAAAATTTAAAAACAGGAACTATTTGTGGATATACGGGAGCTTGAGAATAACTTTACCTTTACTTTTCACAAATCCATGTACATTTTTGAAATTATGATTATATTAAAAGTTGTAGATCTTGAAAAGTTATGTGGAATCAAAAAAAATTCATGACATTCGGATTTTGGAGCACAAAGTTATGGCCGCCCAAAGTTTGACGAAATAAAAAAAAATGCTCGTTCGGGGTGGCAAAATGACGTTTTTTCGAGACGAAGGCGGGACCCAGCGGTTTGCAGCTTGCAAGATCTCAAAAAGTTATTCGGATTCAAACTTTTTTAGATCTTGCAAGCCGCATACCGCCGGGTCTCGCCTTTCGTCAAACTTTGGGCGGCCATAACTTTGTGCTCCAAAATCCGAATGTTATGAATTTTTTTTTGATTCCGCATAACTTTTCAAAATATACAACTTTTAATATAATTAGAATTTCAAAATATACATGGATTTGTGAAAAGTAAAGGTAAAGTTATTCTCAAGGTCCCGTATATCCACAAATAGTTCCTGTTTTGAAAATTTTATCCTACTAAAAGTTGTATATCTTGAAAAGTTATACGAAATGACAAAAAAAATCGCTACGATCGGATACTCGAGTGCAAAGTTACGTTCGTTTGAAGTTTCGGCCGAAGTTAGGAGTTGATAAAAAAAAATTGGACCAAACCGCTGGGTGGGGTGGCGGTTTTGGGCCAAACCGCCACCCCACCCAGCGGTTTGGTCCAAAGTAACCGCCCCCTAGGCCCGCGGTTTTCATAGAAAACCGCACCCCCGACAAGCTGTTTTCGTGTAAACCGCAGGGTGGGGTGGCGGTTTTTGAAAAAGGTGGTATTTTTGGAATTTTTTGGGGTTGGGTGGTATTTTTGGAATTCTTTTTTTAAACAGTGGTATTTCTGGAAAAAGTCCTTTCACTCTGTCCCTTCTCTAAGTGTTGAAACACCACAATATTTTATTTTTCTTTTATCCAAACAAACAGGATAATTAGACCCAATTGCCACATTCCAAACTAAAATACCACACGAAATATCGCATAGCAAAATAATGCGACATTTTGAAGATGATAGGGTATGAAGGTAAAGTATAATACTTGGAGAAGGTCTACAAGAAGAGTCTAGGAGAAACCAAGACATAGGGGCAAAACCCTAGAGACTTACATCATCAGAGGAAGAAAACAAGGTTAAGCGACAAGTTGGCACACCTGACATCTGCAAGGAAGAGGTCAGGGGGACTTGTATAAATTGGAGTGTTTTCCTCATGAATGACAAGCTATCTACATTTGCTACAAATTCTCTCTACTTTCTCTCTCTAATTTCTCTCTCTACTTGCTCCCTTGAGGTCATGTATATCACCCCAAACCCCCTTTGTCCCGAGTGACCCCCTGTCACTTAGGCTCAAACAATTGGCGCCCACCGTGGGGCCAGACATGACTTCGAAAGACGCTTCCCCCTCAAAGAGTGCACAAGAGAAGAGTGTGGCTACAACCAAGACACCCCACAAGCAGGTGAATGGTCGAGAGACGCCTAACCGACATACGCTCATCACTACACAAGGATTGGAACTGTGCGATGATGATATGCTAACCAAAGAGGAGGTTAAGCACTTGAGGTGCCTCCTCGCCAAACTCGAAAGGAAACAAAGATGAAAGATGACACACATTCAAGGACATCTCTCAAAAAGGGCTCAATCGGTGGAAAATGAATAATCGAAGAGCCACCTCCACATTCAAGGTTGCAGGCTTGCAGCAGGTGTCAGGCGCCTGACAAGAGGAAGAGGCGCCAGAGACAAATGACTTGACATTATTTGACAAGTACAGTCTAAGGGAATATTGGAAGAGCCAACACCTAACCTTGCAAGTCCAAGCATCCCTCGTACGAAGGGAGGACCGATCATGAGGATCACATAAAAGAAAGCCTCCACCACAACATGGCGTGATGTTTTGAGGATATCGTTTACCCTGCTTAGACAGACGGAGCTCATATAGCTCGCTTCCTCCATCGAGGAGAAGCTAAGCGCGTTATATCCTTTTCATGAGCGCTGGTGCAATGCTTTAGGGAGCCCCACCAACGGTTAAGGGTGTTGAACCCCACCGCTTTCTTTCCCGCCAACACGGAAGACCCTTAGAGCTTGTGCTCGACTCTTTAGTTGAGTTTCGGGCGCCTGGATAACAGGTCCCCATGAGAGTCTATGTCCCCAACACATCCCTCTAAATTTCCCTGCTTAGACAGATGGAGCTCATATAGCTCGCTTCCTCCGTCAAGGAGAAGCCCAGGCGCGTTATTTCCTTTTCAGGAGCGCCAATGCAATGCTTTGGGGAGTACCACCAAACGGTTAAGGGTGTAGAGCCCTACCGCTCTCTTTCCCGCCAAAGAGTAAGAGCCTTAAAGCTTCCGCTCGACTTTTGAGTTGAGTGTCGGGCGCCTGGATCCCAGGTCCCCATGAGAGGCGATGTCCCCAACACATCCCTCAAAATATCCTTGCTTAGATAGATGGAGCTCATATAGCTCGCTTCCTCGGTCGAGAAGAAGCCTGGCGCGCTACCTCCTTTTCAGGAGTGCCGTCGCAATGCTTTGGGGAGCATCACCAAATGATTAAGGGCGTGGAACCCAACCGTTTTCTTTCCCATCAAAGAGAAGAGACTTAGAGTTTGTGCTTGACTCTTTAGGTGATTGTCAGCCGCCTAGATCCCAGGTCCCTGTGAGAGGTGATGTCCCCAACACATCCTTCAAAATGCTCCTGCTTAGTCAGAAGGAGCCCATTGTGCTCGCTTACTCCGTCGTGGAGAAGGCTAGACGAGTCATCCCCGTCATCTAGTTGGAGGTGGTGCATCGACTTCATGGGATGAGGCTCCATCAACCTCATAGTTGGAGGTGCCATGCACATTGAATCGTGTATTGATACTTACAAAAAATAATGTCATACATTACGAAGAAAAGAAAGACCCTAGGTGCTCAACCAAAAATTCAGTAGCGACCAAGCAACGACAAATTCGCCTCAGCGCTTTATTGAATGGAAAGAAAAATAAGGGCGCAAGCACTCTAAAACAAGAACCTAGGAGACCATACCTCGACAAGGAAAAAAGAAAGATTACATGATGAGGCGCTCTCAAGATCGACACATTGAGGAAGAGCTTGACATTGAAAAAGTCTCACAAGGGGTGATTGGACGTTCACCCATTAGCCCATCCTCGTTTTAAAACAAGTTTGACAAGGGAAAACAAGCAAAGAAGTGAGGGTGCCAGGCATCCTGCCACTGAAGGTCAGGCACCTGCTGAAGGAGTGAGGGGCCTGGCACCCCACTGAAGATCGGGCCCTCGACAAAGGAGCGAGGCGCCCGATGAATTGCCTATGCGCTCTAGCAATCCAAAACAAGTAATGACAGACCTAAAAGAATGAGGTTAGAAGTCATGAGCATCAAACACAAGCGAAGGAGTGAGACGTTAAGTGCCCCACTAAATATCAGGCACCTACCTTGAGAAGCGAGGTGCCAGATGCCCCATTGAAGGACAAGCACCTCGCAGAAGGAGTGAGGTGCCAAGCGCCCTACCAAAGCTCAGACACCTTGGCAAAGAAGCGAGTCTCCATATGCCCCACTCAAGGTTAGGCGTCTGGCTGAAGGAGTGAGGTGCAAGGCGCCCCACTGAAGGTTAGGCCTCTCGCTGAAGGAGTGAGGTGACAGACGCCTAACAGACACCTAGGCAAATGAGCGAGTCACCAGGCACCTCACCAAAAAAGTGAGGTGTCAGGCACCCTATCAAAGGTCAGACACCTCGACAAAGGAGCGAGTCGCCATATACCAAACTGAAGGTTAGGCACCTCGCTGAAGGAGTGTGGTGTCAGGCGCCTCATTGAAGGAGTGGGGTGCCAGGTGCCCAACTGAAGGTTAGACACCTCGCTGAAGAACTGTGATGTTAGACGCCTCGCTGAAGGAGTGAGGTGACAGGCGCCCAACTGAATGTCAGACACCTAGGCAAATGAGCAAGTCGTCAGGCACCTCACCGAAGAAGTGAGGTGTCAGGCGCCCTATCAAAGATAAGACACCTCGACAAAGGAGCGAGTCGCCATGTACCCCACCGAAGGTTAGGCATCTCGCTGAAGGAGTGAGGTGTCAGGTACCCAACTGAAGGCTAGACACCTTGCCAAATGAGCAAGTCACCTCGTTGACTTTGGGTTTTAAGGCAACAAACGACAAGCTGGGTGAAAAATGCTTACCAAAGACATAAGCGAAGGAGTGGGGCGCCAGGCACCCCATTGAAGGTCAGACACCTCGCTGAAGGAGTAAGGTGACAGACTCCCAACTGACAAATGCTTACCAAAGACATAAGCGAAGGAGAGAGGCGCCAGACACCCCACTGAAGGTCAGGCACCTCGCTGAAGGAGTAAGGTGACAGACGCCCAACTGAAAAATGCTTACCAAAGACATAAGCGAAGGAGTGAGGCGCCAGACACCCCACTGAAGGTCAAGCACCTCGCTGAAAGAGTAAGGTGTCAGGCGCCCAACTGAAGGTCAGACACCTCGGCAAAGGAGCGAGTTGCCAGACACCTCATTGAGTTTGGGTCTAAGGGCAACTAACAACAAGCTGGGTGACCAGTGCTTAGCCAAAGAATCGAAGCAAGCACTCTTCTAAAAGAGCACAAGTAATCGAAAGAAAAATGGAGCATCTCAGACAATGAATGAAAAGCATTTGAATATCAGTGGTATCTTTTGGCAAAAAGAAAAAAATGGGAAAAGAGCGCTAGGCGCTCGTTTCAAATGGGTAAGGCACAAAGTGTTCAAAGGAAAACTGACAAGTTTGTTTCAATTTCATTCGATTGTCAAGATAGATTGAATCCTCTAACACGAGCATAGGCACATCCTCTAAGATGAAAGAGTAGTCACTTAGGAATTAATTGATGAAGAACGGAAGAGTGCAAGCGTCAGGCGCTTGATAAAAGGGGCATGATTGCTTCTTTTGCTAGTCTCCGTTACTTGAGACATGTGTTTATTATTTCTCATTTTACTACACCTTATTTGGAAGCAAGCACACCCATACGGGTGCACAAGCGCTCAACAGATCAGAAGATCAATAAGGGACTGAAGCACCCGCTTGAAAGGAAGAGCCAGGTGCCGATTAAGTAAAGAAAGAGAGCTGGCACTTGATTTTGAAGACGAGAAAGCAAGGTTAGTGAAACACTCACTTTATGTTGACGCTGCCATAATACTCATACCGACGCCAAAGGGGCAATTGATAGGGTATGAAGGTAAAGTATAATACTTGGAGAAGGTCTACAAGAAGAGTCTAAGAGAAGCCAAGACATAGGGGCAAAACCCTAGAGACTTACATCATCAGAGGAAGAAGACAAGGTTAAGAAACAAGTTGGCACACCTGACATCAGCAAGGAAGAGGTCAGGGGGACACCCTCTGCCCCACCAGACCTATTCTGACCAGAAGTACAATGTACAGTGACAGAGAGTCTGAGGTGCATGGACCACACACATAACATCCAGACTTATATAAATAGGAGTGTTTTCCTCATGAATGACAAGCTATCTACATTTGCTACAACTTCTCTCTACTTTCTCTCTCTAACCTCTTCTCTTCCCATGCTCTTTTAAGAGGTGGGGCGCCTGCTCCCTTTAGGTCATGTTCTATCACCCCAAACCCCCTTTGTCCCGAGTGACCCCCTGTCACTTAGGCTCAAACAGAAGAATTTTTTTTATAGAGAATTACGACATTTTGATTTGAAATACCACATAACCAAAATGATGCATCAAAACGACCCGCTAGTTATTCTATGGATAAGATAATTAAAATCGGGTATGTCATCCGAAAATTACTACAACATTTTCCTATTCTTTTCTCTCTCTCTTTGGTTCGAAGACGTGGATGTCACTGTTATTTATCTTCTTCATTGTCATTCTTTCTTCTTGAGGAGAATCTATTTAAAATTTAGTCTAGCTCCTACCGGAGATAACAGGATACGACATTTGCACAAATAACAATTTATCTAATACGTAAAGGCATGTACAAACTCCCCGTAATTAACTCATGAATTCTCTCACAAACCTTGCCTGTCCTCACATTGTAGAAAGTCTCGTTTCGAATTTCTGCAGTATAGAACTGTCAATGAAACTTACCCTAACCACTAGTAAAGTGTATGTTTTTATGTTTTAACCAAGAATGGAGATACTGCTACTTTTTAATTGGCGATCTGTCAACAATTTTTGTCATCTATCTTATCTCTTGTTAAGATTGACTAATTAACGCGTCTAAATTGAGCTAAAAGGTCAAGTAATTTGGCTTCCATATATACACACACTTGAAGGGAGAATATTGCCTTAGGAAAGTCACAAAGATCCCCAAGAGTCAGCAGATGAATAACGAATTGAAGGGAATTACAGATACAAAACGCCACAAACGGTGCGGTAAGAAGAGGACTGAACACTTTACGCAACCTTATATCAACAAGTAATATAGAAGAGATTAATAATTGACAAGATTTGTTTTGGTGTAAATGAAGAAGTATTTGTTACGAACTCGAAAATGAAACTACGAAGCTGTGTAGAAAATGGATGACATCAATCACCGAAAAAAAAAATGGATGACATCTAAAAGAATCACTATATTACAATGATTAATCAAACTATGCAAAGATAATATATTACTAAAAGCGGACAATATCTTAAACGAGAAAATTTATCCGGATGTTATAGAGATGACACTCGGCAGCAAGACTAAACGATAAAAAGTGACGTACCCAGCCAAAAAAAAATTAGAGAAAGAGGGATCGTTTGGATGAGGCAATTGTTAATATGGTATTTGTAGAGTCAAATAACTCAAAGGGGGTCGTTTGGATGGGTTAATTGTTAGTGTGGTATTTGTAGAGTCAAATAACTCAAATATTGTTCATGTGGTATTTCAGTGTTATTTCAGTGGTAATTGAAATAAAGTATCTCGTTTGGTTGAACCATGCAAATGTGGTATTTGACATGTGGTATTTGGTAAAAGCAGAGTAGTCAAACGAGTTATTTCGAAATAACACATGGGTATGAGTTATTTTAAATAACTCATTTTGAGTTATTTGTAAATAACTCATTTCAGTAAAACGCTGCCAAACGAGTTATTTGTGTCCAAATAGCTCATTGTGAGTTATTTGAACCCAAATAAGTCATCCAAACGACCCCCAAATTCTTGTTCGCGTGATATTTCAGTGTTATTTCTGTATCTTGTTTGGTAGAATCACGCAAATGTTGTATTTAACCTTTGATGTTTGGTAAAAGCAGAGTGGTAAAAATTAGTTATTTCGAAATAACACGGGGTATGAGTGAAACGAGTTATTTGTAAATAACTCGCTGCCCAAATAACTCATTTCAATAAAATAGCCAAACGAGTTATTTGTGACCAAATAACTCACCCAAATACCTCATTCCAAAAAAAATATTTATAAATCGGAAAAGTGAGAAAGTTTTATTATAGTTTATCATCATCGAAAATGGTGGGACTGGATTGGGCTGCACTGTTTCGTTGAGTAGTGGGCCCATTCTGTATCCATCTTCTGTTCGCTTCTAAGCTAAGCCCGCCTCACCTTTCCCTAATCTCCTCCTCTTTGTTGTACGGCTGTGGACTTCCCAGTTCCCCACTTAATTAGATCACAAATCTTGATTACCGTATCACTAATCAGTTGACAAATTACTATTTTATTGTACTTTAAACAAACAAACATTTTGGGTTTGAATATGGGATGTTAAGGGTGGTTTGGAAGTTGTGATGGTTAGAATTGTATTTATTAAATACATGTATTGTGCATAATACAATATTTGGAAGTGGCAAATAGGAAAATAATGCATAAATTGTTTTGTGTAGGTCCCACAAGCAACCAACAAAAAAGATGCATCATGCAATCTCAAGTTTTAGTTGAGATTGTTGGATTTATGTTTGTGTCCACTTTTTATTTCTACTTATATCCCTGAATAATTTTTTTGTATATTAAAAGTAGAGTGTAAAAGTTACATTTGCCCATAAAGTAACTTATGTATATCAATTCATAAACTAGAATCTCAACAATCAAACAATGTATTATCAAAATGCATCTACTCTACCAATACATATATTTTTATGGGTTATAGGTATAATATGCCCCCCTACTATGTAGTTTTATCAAACATGCCCCTGTACTATTTTTTACATCAAACATGCCCTTATACTTTGTAAAAATGGTCAAACATGCCCTTTTGTTAAAATTTGCATAAAAAACCATCAATCATGGTCGAACCTTTGTTTGGGCGACACCTATGTCTAAAATATTCCTAATAATTTCACTTTAGAATTATTTTGTTTAGCCAAATACTTCTAATAATTTCACTTTAACTAGACCTAAAGAAATAAATGAGGAAGAAAACTGACATTTCGACCGTAATTTTTTCGATGTCGGGTCGTGTGAATCTTGGTTCAACTGTGGTTGACCATATTTTAATGGAAATTTTTACATAAAGGCATGTTTGATAATTTTTCCAAAGTATAGGGGCATGTTTTATGTAAAAAATAGTACATGGACATGTTTGATAAAATTGCACAGTAGAGGGGCATATTACACCTATAATCCTATTTTTATTATAGTGTTTAATTACAATTTTAATAACTTACCAAGGGGATGATCATCCTCCAAACAACCCCTTAGTCGTGATCATCATGAGTAACGAATAGTCTTTCTTTCTACGAGGGCATTTTTTATTCATTCATTCAGGGCACTACCAATGTTTTGAGTGTTCTCACTTCTAAAATCATCATCGTTGCTAGTAGTGGGTTGCTGTTATACGTGTCCGACGAAGCAACATAGCCTTAAATGGCAAAAAAACAAACATGCCTTAAAACAGAAAGAAAAAAAAAAAAAGGGAACCAACCAAGCCTGCGTTGATATATAATAATTAACTGCCACTGTTTCTGCAATTTATTTGTCGGCCGTCAACCGAATCATTATGGGACACTTGGCTGGCATTTGCTAACGTGGTGGAGTTGGAGCATTTGCTAACGTCCGTTTCTACGGCCACTCACTCAACTCTCTCCAACTACTTATTCAGGTCAGGTCACCACCAACATGGACCAATCCATGGTTTCTGTTTGCCAATAGGGTTCACCCACCAGTCAGTCACCACTATTCTATTACACGCCCCCAACAAAACAATACTACAAAAATTCTGAAATAATTGCTTATGAATCGCAGCTAAAAGAAGCACTCCAAGTTGGCTAGAAACCCCAAGCGATCCACATCTAATTTAGGTCAAACCTCAAAATGGTCGTAAACATTGTGTTTTGTTATAATCGGATAATGGAGCAACAACGTTATGACCGTTTCAAGTTTCGAATTAGGTTAGGTGTAGATCGTTAGGGTCATCAACGATCAGGTATTGTTCACTGCTGATGTTTGCCACAATATGTGTTGTTTTGAGAATTTGTTCTCTTATCTTTGTCGCAATCCAAACCTTTCGAGTGCGGATCACTTCAGTATCAGGCGAAACACTATCTGGTTTGCTTGACACTAGAATAAACTACTCCAAACTTTAGTATCTTGAAAAATATTTTGCAAAGTATGATATTGTGAGAATTTTTTTACTCAAGACCCTTGTATTTTGAGAAATGTTCCAATGATAAGGATTGGCTCGCTTATTTTGTCAACTTCGTTATGAAGACACACTAAAGTCCAAAAACTCACTGCTCTCTCTCTCTAGACTACCCTTGTCAAACCGGTTTATGCCAGTGTGCCGGTTTAGCAAGTGGAATGGTTCGACCGATGGCACATACCGATTTATACCGGTTCATGCCGGTCAATATTACAAATAAAATTATAAATACTCATATTTAAACATGACATTTAACTTCAATACTTAGACATTTATACTTAAATCCAACAAATAATATCAATATTTAACTTTTATACTCATAAAATAAATAATAAAATTATTTTTATAAATTAAACTCACTAAAATAAGACCATTTTACTTAGAGATTCGTATATCGATCATGCCGGTCATACCGATGGTGTCACGCCGGTTTTACGATCGATTATCGGTTGAACCAAGTTCAACCGGTGGCACGCCGGCTGGCGTGACAACCCTGCTACCCTCCCTCATGCGAGCCAATTTGACGTACTGCTGATGCGTGAAACAGAAAACTGTCAGCCCAAATCCTTTAACCCAATTCATCGCATAGTCGGCAATTACCTTTCTGAATTTCACGGGCCGTTTTCCTCAAAATTTGGCTGAAAGCCTTAAACCAAAGAAATTGGCGTCTAAAGCTACAAGAAGTCAAGAACATACGAATCCAATTCGGATGTCGGCCCGGCCCGCAATCCGCTTCAGAGACAAAACGAATTTACACCTGGAAGCTGGAGCCTCTCCAAGACTTGATAGAGGCATAGATCCCTTTTCGATTCGATAATCAAAACTTCAGTTCCTAACCAATTTCAGATACAAAATCATACATATTTATAAAGCAAAGAAAAATGAACAACACAAATCTTTCAGCAGATTCTGATTATACAGGGTGGTCGGGGTCTCTCTGCTCAAACTAGCTCGAGAGATCCAATCAATTCCGCCTCCGTCGTCGGAAGTGCCTGAGGATGAAAGTGTCAGCATAGAGTGGGTAGTTTTTCCTGATTAGGCCCTTAATGCATTTCCAGTACGAGAAGTCAACTGACTGTCCGTCTTTGCGGATTATGAACAGACACCGAGAGCTTGTGAAATCTGGATGATACCCGACCTGTAAAAATGCAAGGATGAAACATTACTCTGCTTGTATCATTTCATTTCTACCACTGAATGCTGAAACCACAAGCCTCGTCTACGGTATAAGATGGGATGCCATACGCTTAACCAAGTAATTCCACACTTCACAAACAACATTGTTTAGCTGCAGATGATTGCATGAACCCTGCACATGTTTCTAACACACATGGAAGCATCTGCGGAAGAAGTGCCTCTTGCGAAAAATTACTTCAGGTTCTTGGTACGTTCAATAAATTACAAGGCAGTGAAACGCATTAATGCTATACACTAACAGTAAGAGAATAAACCATCCATAACAGCTTGGCACAAGGAGCTCCAAGAACATGTAAGTAAAAAGGACCAGCAAATTCGAGTGGTGAAGGCTCATTGGTGTGACATTTTATTGGTATAAGAACAGAATGTGGTGATCCATCAAGAGATCAAGCATATGATAAGCCATCCAAGGTCCATATAGATCCAGGGTAAATTCAACATTGTCTGGCTATCAACTGAATAACCTTGATACAACCCTATGACAGATGTGAATCACAGTGAGCCAAATGCAGAACTCTCTAACCGATATATATTTTCGCTGAAGTCAGGAACGAATGAGGTGGAGGTATTAGAACCTTTATTGCCTCAACTACGCTACAACCCTGATTTGCACAAATTTCTCATGCGAAAACAAATCAACGAGTCAAGTATAATGACAGACACAGTGCTGCTGAATCGTTAAAGACCCGTCAATTAGCATTATTTCATAGCCGTGAACACTATAACTACCACCATTTCCATAAAAACAAAGCAACCCAGCAAGTTCCAGGTGAATATACCCATCTTCCCTTAAATCAAATGACAACCCAACTAAACCAACTTAGAATAAAACGGCAAGAATCATACCGTGATATAATCAATCCCAGACCCAATCTTCTTCTCACATTCAGGATGATACGGAAGCAACCTATCCACAATAGTCCTCTCATGATCCGGACTTAACCTTTCCCCAATTTCATATCTGCACAACTCAAACAAATTCCATTCACTCAAAGAACCAACTTCTAATTAGACTATCAAAGAGTTGGAAGCTTAAGAGAGCACTTACTTGCCAGAATGCAGGATCATTCGCACGAACCCAACAAGCGGAACCGTGTCCTCCAAAATCTGGTCCTCCCAATCCACCCAATCGTCTTCCTCCTCCTCCCCCACGCTTTCTTCATCGCTTTCCTTCCTGTACTTCGCCTCAACGGCGTCGTCATCCTCTTGCTCCGAAATTCCGCCCAATTCCCTCGCCGCAGGGGAAACTGGCTTCCTCAACAAATTCGACCCTTCCGATTCCGTCTTCAGCGCGCAACAAACCCTGGGAATCGTGCGGTGAAATGAGAAAGACAGAATCACCGGCGGCGAAAACAACCGGATAGGGTTCGAGTGGCTGTAGAGGCACGGCGGTGGTTTAGATAGCGAAACCGTGGTCATTACTGCTCCTGCTGGCTCAATCTGCCTGTATACTACGCAAGTTTCAAGAAACTACGCCGCCGTTTTGTGGGACTGGCTTCCGTTCGCTCTTCTTCTTCTTCTTCTCCGACGGTTACCGGCTCGGAGAGAGATGGCGGGGAGCTTTCAAGGCCGTTGAGTTATCTTCATCAGTGATAGATATGGAGGTTCAGTGTAAGTAATGGAGAAGACTAGTCGCGTCAGGAGGATCTTTTGTTTTGTGCCGCGCTGGGTGGGATTCTTTTGAGGAGATAAAAGCGGTAGCAGCACCACCGTTGTTCGTTGGCGGTGAGGCCCATTCATTTAAGAGCCCAATTGTCAACTGGCCCTAAAATGGGCACTGGATTGGGCCTGGGAAACAAGATGAATGTGATGCCCTTGTCTTTTAAATTTTCTTTTGGGTGGTAAGTGGTAACACTCTTTTTGGTCAAGAGTGTTCACTTAAAAGTTTGCATGGTCGTCCGACCAATAAACTTGTAGTTTAGCAATATGATGACGATAATAGCATTGTTGTGGTAGTAACATGATTGACTAGTTAAATGTTACGAGTTCCTAAAACATTATCTTTCTTTTGAAGAATTGCATTTGATCTATCTCAATTGCTACAAACAAAATATTTTAGCGTACCAAACAAATTTATTTAAGCATGAAGACTCTCAAAGGATTCAAATTCTTCTTTCTTTCTTTACTTTTGGGTAAACTCAACTTAATTGGAAGAAGAAGGGGGAAAATCAGCCAAACAACAAGACCGTGAGATATTAAAGGGTGACAGTTGACCAATCAATACTTAATTATTATGAGTTATCCATCTTAGGGTCCATAAATATAGCTAACTTTCTATTTTATCTAATTCAAGAAACGGTCCAATATGGAAAAGAATTCATAAAAAATACATGGAAAAGGGGAAGGGAATGAAGAAAGGAGCAAGTAGATAGAAGAAAGAAAGAGTCTTACAAGAAACCAGAAGAATTGTAATTAATTAATAGCTGGTAGTGTGAGAGGGCTAGTGCCAAGCTGTTAGCTGTGATTAGCCACCTAATCCTTAGCCCAAATTTAATGAGCGATCGACAAGTCATTTAAATCTTGTGTATATTCGTGGCCTCCTCTCCTTATCATTCATTAATTGATATTAATCAACCAATTCCCTCTCCATTAGGGAATTCGCCAAGAAAAGAAAAGGACAATTAACAAAAAATAAGATCCAATCTAGGGATTATAATCTATGATTTAATTTGTATAATCGCAGGCTGCTCCCGCAGGCCGCAAGATCGGCAGCAAATCCTAATACCGGGATCATCTGTCTGTCACGTGGGGTGGGCCGGCGGCCACGGAGGACGAGTGAAGTGATTGAGTTTAAAACGCATTAAACTAATGAAGATTCGGTGATACTGATACATCGAAACTCTAGTACCTAATTAGGGGCGTCAGAGCGGGTTCGGGTTTTTGGTTTAACCTGAAATTGAACCGGTAACAAGCTTATTTGGGTTTGGGTTTTCGATTCCAACCCGAAGCTGGACTGTATCGATTTTGGTTTCACTTTAACCCGAAAACCGGTAAGAACCCGAAAAACCCGAAATTGCAGTTTGAGCTCTCCTCGCTATCATCGTCATTTTCCTCTCGCCTCCTGGTACTTCAGCTACGAGGAGCTCGTGGAGTTAGGGATGGCAGTGGGCACAAATAAAGCGTGCATCGCCTGCACCCGCCCGGAGCAAACCCGCGATCAAACCCGCAATTGGAGGATAACGGTCGGGGACGGGGAAACCCGGAATATGCAAGGAAGCGGGGATGGGTCGGGGCCGGATATCACACTATCCGCCCCGACCCCGTCCGAAATAGCATACGCCGCCGTTTCAACATCCACGAGAGAGGGGATGGATAATGGATTTTCGATTTCTTTGACCATCGAATGCAGCCAGCACTAGCAGCACGCACTTTCCCCATTCCCCAAACTTCCATCTCACAAATCGCTGCTCTCAATCAATTTTTTCTCCGATTTTCCAGACTCCATCACTCTAATCTGCCATCTTAATCACGCTTTATTCGGTGAGCCCTTAAATCTTTCTGTCGATTTTCTCCGATTCTTCCATTCTTCCTACCAATCTCTAGTCTTCTAGCCCCGGTTACACCTCACAACCATCATCAATACACTCGAATCTCTCCATCAAATCTCTTCACAGCTGTCAAATTAGTCAATCTGCTCAATTAGAAGAAGAAATCTTCGATTTTCCCCTTTATGATGGCTTTGGGAGAATCAAAGTTGATGATTCTGTCCTTGCCTAGCCTCACGCCACTTAACCCTAAGTTAGCCTATAAATTTGTCCTTCAATGAAACTGGAGAGCACGCTACCTTCACAATTCCTTTCATACATTCCTAGAGCTTTCTTCATCTGCAGACAGACTGCAGTTCCCTTGAGCTTGAGAGCAGGCTTCTTCAAACTTCAAGACTTGTGAGTTTTCTCTATTTTGTTTTTCCCATACTTAGTTTGCTAGTTTTCTGTGTAATATGACTAATTCTGTTCTTATGTGTTGTCCAAATATGTATTAGGAACCATGGAAAGCAATCAAAATGCCCCTGGAGCTTCTGCAAATGCTGCTGTTCAACCAAATGGTGTTGCCCATCAGTCTGTTAATGCACATCTAGTTGATCCGGCACCTCATGTTGCTGCTGGTGGAGCTCCTGCACCTCAAGTTGCTCACTATGCAACTCAGGATGTTGTCATGAATGACCCAGCTGGTAATGGTGATGAGGTAATTGATTGTAGCAGGTTAAAATCTGTAGTGTGGAATCACTTCACTAGGATCAAAGTAAAAGATGAGATTAAGGCTAAATGCAAACATTGTCGAAAACTATTATGTGGAGAATCCAAAGATGGTACTTCGCATTTGAAGAGTCATATGCGAACTTGTTTGCAAAAAATAATTGGAGATCGAACTCAGAAAGTTCTTGGTGCTAACTATGCTCCAATTGGAAGGAAGGACCTGGTAGTTAGTGCCTATAATGCTGATGTCTGTAGGAGGGAACTTGCTTCTGCTATCTTGATGCACGAGTATCCATTCTCAATGCTGGATCACTTGTATTTCAAGAGGTTTATTTGTTCTCTACAACCTCTCTTTACGGTTCCAACTCGCAATAGTATTAAGAAAGATATTTTTAAGCTTTATCAGTCTGAACGTAGTAGGGTTCAGAAGGTTATTGATGAGAATAAGGGAAGAGTGGCACTCACTACTGATATGTATATAAGTACATTACATTGACACTACATTGACAATTCTTGGAAGTTAAGAAGAGTGTGCAGTTACAACCATATAACCCAAAAGAAGGGTTATATGGTTGTAACTGCACACTACATTGACAATTCTTGGAAGTTAAGAAGCCATATGTTAAGGTATTTTTGTAGTTTGTTTTGTATATAAGTTCTTCAATCTAGACACTGTATTGTGATATAGCTCTAATATAATATTGCTGCCTTGTTGTAGGTTTATGTATGTCCCTGCACCACATACAAGTGAGAGGTTAGCCACAATCATGATCGAGTGTATGATGGATTGGAATGTCGATTCAAAGGTATCGACTATTACTCTTGATAATTGCAGTACCAATGACTCGATGATTGAAAAAATTAAGCAAAAACTTATGCTTAATTACATGATGTTGGATGGTTCAATGTTGCATATGAGGTGCTTTGCTCACATTTTGAACTTAGTCGTCAAAGATGGTTTATCAATTTTGAAAGATGGGATAGAAAGGATTAGAGAATCTGTTGTGCATTGGTCTGCAACACCAAAGAGAAAAGAGTTCTTTGATGAAACTGCTAAGCAATTAAGGGTCGGTTGTGACAAACAGTTGGTGCTTGACTGTCCAACTAGATGGAATTCAACATTTCACATGCTTGCTACAGCTTTGCCTTATAAAGATGTCTTCTCTCGTCTTAAACAAAGGGATTCTCAGTATACTTGCTTGCCTACTCCTGCTGATTGGCAATTTGCAACTATTGTGTGTTCAAAGCTGGAAATCTTTAGTGTGATTTCTGAATTGTTTTCTGGAACACAATATCCTACTGCCAATCTGTTCTTCCCTCAAGTTTGTGACTTGAAGTTGAAACTGAGTGAATGGCTTCTTGATCATGATTTTGTCATCCAACAAATGGCTGCTTCAATGTGGTTGAAATTTAAGAAGTATTGGGAAGATATTCATGAATGGTTGGCTGTTGCAATTGTACTTGATCCAAGGTACAAGCTAGAGATCATTACTTATTATGCTGCTAAGTTTGGTAGTTGTGATGTTGAATGTTCATTGGACTGTGACAAGATTAAGAGAATCTTGGTTGACTTGCTTCATGAGTACAAAACAAGGAAGGAGATGGATTCTCCTAGTGTTGGAACTGTTAACCTGGAAGTTTCTCAATCTGGAATTGACTTGGATTTTGAATTGTATGTGAGCCAAAGAAAAAAATCCAAAACAGTTGCATACCAAACTGAGTTGGATAGGTACTTGGGTGAGGATGTGATTCCTCTTTCTATCGATTTTGATATATTGACTTGGTGGAGACAAAATGGCATAAAATATCCTGTGTTGCAAGAAATTGCAAGAGATATTCTGGCTGTTCCTGTAACTTCAGTGGCATCTAAAAGTGCCTTCAGTTCTGGTGGGCGTCTTTTAGACCCTCATCGTAGTAGATTACTGCCTTCTACTGTCGAGGCAATGATGTGTGCAAGGAGTTGGATGCAAGCTGAGGTGAACAAAGGTAAAAAAAATCTCCTTCAAAGTGTAAAATTTGTTTCATATGCATAGAGCAGTGTCTATACTATCTAATTCCTTCATTTGTGTTTTAGATAATGTTGATTCTGTTACTGCTCTGGAAGGGTGTTTCACTATGTTGAATCTGGGTGGAGATGAGACTGAAAATGACTTGGCAGGTAATGGACTTTTCTGTTACTACTTGATAATTATTTGGTTTTATTTCAATTCAATAATAATCTGATTTTGCTTTTAATCTGTTGTAGAAGATACAAATGTGAGGTTTATGTATCTCGACAGAGTTCTTGACCATTAGGATTGACACTGGGTTGCTGTTGGTGTTGCTGGGTTGCTGCGATGCTGCTGCTGGGTTCGTGATGATTAAGGTTGTGTTTGTGGTGCTGCTGTGTTGGTGTTTTCTATTTTGTGATACTGCTACTGGGTTGCTGGGATTTTGCTGCTGGTTTTTAATGTAAAGTTGATGTTGTTTTCTATTTTGTGCTTTCTTAAGGCTGTGTTCTTGATGATGATCATGGATTTTGCCATTAAGTTTAAACAATTTCAGTTTGTTAGTAGTTTGAGTTTGAACAATGCCAACATATTAGTTTCAATGAAATTCAGTATGTTTCCTTTCAATTACATTTGATTCTAGCTTACAATTTTTGTTGTTTGAAGTGTTATTTAAGTGAAGCGGGTAAAACCCGTCAAACCGGGGAATATCCAAACCCGCATGGATACGGGGATGGATAGCAATTTGGTATCCAAATCCCATTCAGTGCGGGGACAGGTAAAACCCGTTTGTGGTTGCGGGCGGGGATTGGGTAGCTACTATCCGGCCCCATACCCACCTGTTGCCATGCCTACGTGGAGTCCACGGATTCATCGATGGGCCTGGGTCTCTTCATCCAGCCGGTCCTCCAGATCTTCAGAATGTCGCCGCGGGATCACCGCCGCCGGACCCACCACCACCTGTCGTCGGAAGGGAGCTCGCCCAGGGGACTCACCGCGCTCATTGTGCTGCTTTGCGACCCCTTCGGCGGCAAACTCATCCTTTCCTTTAAGATCGAAACTTTGTCGTCGCCGCATCTGGGTAGCGCAACCCTTCTCCGATCTTGTTTTAGGGTTTCCTTGGTTTCGACGATTTAGCTCCTTGCTTCATGGACTTCTTTTTCTCTTTTTGTTTTGTTTTCATGAGTTGAATCCCTCCTTTTTTTCTCGTGGAGTGGGCTCCCTGGGAAAACTGCCAGCATGCAGGGTTCAGGGGAAGGAGCTAGAAATCAAGAGAGGAGAGGGATTGAGTTAAGGATCTGAATGCCTAGCGGAGAAACGAAATCAGATCCATCAAATTTTGAGAGAAGCCGGTGGTCATACTGGATGAGTGAGAGATGTCGTCGACAGAGTAGATGAATGGAAGAATGAGGTTCTGGGTTTGGGGTTAGTTCTTGGTACTGGGTAGTGAGTAATAACTTCATTTGTGGGAGTGGAAAAGTGAGAAGCTAGCTTGGATGCGTCTCTTGAAAGGGAATACGCAAGGAGAGGAAGAGAGAGGGGTTTGGAAGGAAGGCGGAGAGAGCTCTGAATTCCCAAACCAGCAAACAGTTTTCATCTTTAAAATTCGTTTCGGGTTTTCGAGTTACATGTACCCAAACCGAAACCGTCAGTGAATTTTTCGAGTTCGGGTAACCGAAACCCGAAGCCAGCAATTTCGGGTCGGGTTCGGGTTTGTAGCCAGTGTACTGTGCGGGTTTTCATTTTTGGTGGGTTTCGGGTAACCGAACCGACATCCCTATACCTAATACATACTTAACCTAGTCAAAAAGTTTACTCATATGATGATCCAACGATACCATTCATCCAAATTATCTCATCCATGTGCTTGCTAATTTTTTTATAGAGGCGCTCCTTGTTCTGTTTAGATAAAAACAAAATTTTTTTGCTCGATGAAATATGTGTTTATGTCTCGATATACTATTAGTGTAGTCCGTACAACAATATTGTAAGAATAATAAGTCGAATTCAAGTGTTATGAGTTCTCTCCTATTTTTTTAGAGGTGACAAATAGATTGAATTGATGACTCGTTCTAACGACAACATCCCAATCAACGGCCAAGTATAACCGCCGATCGGGTGTAGCATAGGACAAGCAAGAAATAAGAATTTATCATACCATGGGGATCTAGGCTTACCCTACTTCAGGTTTAAGGTTTGTTATCTAGCCAACCTAGGATGGTGATTAGAAGAATTAAGCTAACTAACCTAGGTAACCAGTAACTTAGCTATTTACAAGGTTGGGAGCTCTCTTGAGTTAATTCCCCCTATTTCCGACCTTTGGATCGATGTTGAGTATCCTTCTACCTTGATCGACTCAAATACACTACCGCTTGGAGATGGAATCCCTCGGGAATGACCCGGAACGGCGAATCAATGGATGGGTAGTGCTCTATTCAACCTAGGATATCGTATATTGCTAGGAGACGGTCGAATCAACTCCCTCGGGGCCTACCCGAACAATATATGATAGGAGTGACCCGAAGACGCCAAGGAAGGGGCTCTAAGGGGATTATCCCACTCCTAGGTCAAAATCTCAAAGCATGAAAATGGAAACCACACTCATGCCATTCAAGAGAACATCCATTAATTAAGTAAAATCAACAATCAAACTAGGGATTTTGTCACATACATCAACAACAAACCCAAAACTAGAGCTAGGGTTATTAAACCCAAGAGAAGAGGGTGAGTTTCTACAGAGAGAGGAGAGATTACAAAGAAACCTCTAGATCTTCTTCTTCTTCTTGGCTTGATTCCTAGCTTCCAAGCTTGATCAATGCTTTCAATTAAGCTCCAAGATCACTCCCTCTCTCACCAGAACTCCTATTTGGTGTTTTGGGTTGAAACACTAGAGAAAGAAAGTGTTTCTTCACCAAAAACCAGCTCCCCTTTCTCTCTCCCCGCTACTGTCTTCATATTTTCCCGAAAGTGAGCAGTTTACGGACGCGTTGGCCAGTTCACAACCGTGAACACCTGAGCGCGTCCGTGAACTCAGTGTTGTCGCCAAAACGCGTCGCTTCACTTCTGGGTTCACGGGCAATAGCTCCAGTTCATGGTCTTAGTGACCGTGAACTGCCTTGTCGTCAGTAAATTCTGGAACCTCGTTGGACGCCTAGATGTTCACGGTTTGTGATTCCAGTTCACGACCTTAGGAGACCGTGAAATGCCTTGTCTGACCGTGAACTGCGACTGCTTCCTGGACGCCTGTGCTTCACTGTTACGGCTTCATACTTTTCTTTGGTTTTTGTGCTTTTTGACCTCCAATTATCCCAAAATTCAACCTCGACCTTTCCACACGTGCTAGGACCTGAAATGTATCAAAACAAGCACAACCTAGTGTGAAATATGTCGAGGGACGATGAACTACTAAGCTAAACGAATAAGAAATGAGGGGTAAAATGTGTACATTTGGGCCTGAATCAATTAATAAATTAGTAGATAGATGAATTCACGAATTGAATAAAATGGATGGCGGGATTGAATTCATAGACCCAAATGACATCTAAGTCTTTGACCATTAAATATTATTTGAAAAATTAATATTCAATTAATTTAGGAAGGAAAAAATAACATATTTGTTCAAGTTTCATTTTGTATAAATAACCGTAGCATGTTCTTATATCTGAAAACAATTGTTAACAAACATTAATTCTCTATTAAACTTCTCGCATTAAATAACATCTGGTAGGAGTGTGCAACTGTTTGGTCCATATCGGACCGCACCAAACCAAATCAATGTTAGATAACTGAATAGCGTGTTGCAGTACATAAAACATTTCATGTTGAATGTCATTGTTTAGAGTTAGGTTGTTTATTTGAGTCTCTGTTGCATTGGAATTTGGTTCTGGACAATTGAGAGAGCCTTACGGCTTGTTGGCTATGACTGTTTGTTAGCAGTAGAAGTAGAGATTAATTGAGAGTCTGTTGGGGTTGCTAAAAGGTAAGAAAGTTGGGGTTGAGGGTCTGCTGAGTGCCGAGTTCTTTGGTACAAAGCTTGTATATAATTATTTTGATTGCTTCCAATAAAGTTTGGTCAGTTTGCAGCCAATTTGGTTTCTACATATGGTATCAGAGCCAATAGCAAACTGTAACCACATTTTTTCTCTAGTGTGATTGAGTGTTTGCGTTTTTTTCAAATTGAGATTGGGAAAAACGAGTAATTGATTGGGAGAGTTTCTTCTGGGTGTGAGTGAAATACGAGAGGCTTGGGGAGATACACCATTTTTGTGATAGGTGTGAGTTGTGTACTGAGACCATGGGTGAGATCATTGACTTTGTTTCAATTTTTATTTCCAAGTTTGATGGATATTATGTTCATTGGAAACTTCCGATGGAAAATCTGCTTCGGTCCGAGGAATATTGGGGAGTGGTAAGCGAAGGCTTTGCAGAGCCATCAGCAGGACAATTCTTTCTGCAGTTCAGACTAAAAAGCTTGAAGACTTGAGATTAAAAGACCTTAAAGCCAAGAACTATCTCTTTAGCTCAATCTACAAGGCCATTCTGAAGACTATTACTAAGAAGGATGCCGCTATGGCCCTGTGGGATTCGATGAAAATCAAATATCAAGGTAGTGGCAGAGTTCATAAGGCTCGGTTGCAGACTCTTAGAAGGAGGTTTGAAATCTTGGAGATGAGGGAAGGAGAAACAGTAACTGAGTACTTTGAAAGGGTAATGGTGGTTGCAAATGCCATGATAAATTATGGTGAGTCAATGTCTGATGAGAAGATTGTTGAGAAAATATTGAGAACATTAACGGAGAAATTCAACTATATAGTTTGCGCTATTGAGGAGTCTAAGGATATAGAAACTCTTTCTGTTGATGTTCTTCAGAGCTCATTAGTTGTCCATGAGCTAAAGTTTAGCAAAGGCTTAGCCAAGGAGAACCGGGGATTGAAAATGACTCATGACAAAGGCATGAGAGTACAGGGAAGAGGTAACTTTCAAGAAAGGGATCGAGTCAGAGGTGGTAGAATATGGAACAAAAAAACAGTAGAGTGCTTTAAATGTCATAGGTTGGGTCATTTCATAAATGAATGCCCATTTGGTACACTCACAAGCACACTACTCTAATGTGAATTCTGAATTTGATATGAAAGAAAATGTCATGCTGATGACATATGTTGAGGAAAAGAATGTAATAGTAGATGGAAGATGATGTAGCATAATGCCGATAATCACAGTACAATGAAGTGGAGGAGAATGTATCATATGGTGATAATTACATCAAGATGCATTTTATAGAAGATCACGTGCTGGAGAGCAATGAAGGGCAAAGGTGCTCATATGTTGGTTGCAGTAATCACATGGGTGATATTAAGAAGTGGTTTCACAACTCTAGATTCCCGTTTCAGGTGCACTGTGAACCAGGAAAATGGTAGCATATTTGAAGTAGATGGAAACATTTTTTTATCAAGAAGTACAAAAGAAAGATTCAAAAACTGGAGCCACAACACCAGCAGCAGGAATATAAATAGGAGAATTACATTCCCAAACTATTGTAATGACAACTAAAGTGCAGCATCTTCCTATTGATGTTTAAGTGGAAACTCAGAATATATGGTATAACAAATTTGTGTATGTGAGGTGTGATCGTCCTACAACGATGCAAAGAGAGGATATGGTACAATTCTTTAGAGGAGTTGCAACAACATGCTCAACTTTTCAGTTTGGCAAACAACATAGAAGGAATGTTTCAAGGAGAAGGAGCATTGAACAAAAGGTTCGACTGGTGCGTACAGATCGATGTTGTCTTATCAAATCATCATCAAACTATGATGAAAGGTATATTTTGAATGTAACAGATGAACTCAGTAGAAAACAACAGTTGGTTCTTTTAGAAATAAGGTCAAAAATATTTTTCAAGTCCAAGCTATTCAAAGCATCAATTGAGAAAGAATTTACTAAGCATATTGTATGTTTAAGAACCGATAAAAGAAGAAAGTTTGTAGTGACTGAGCATAAAAAGTATATCGGTCGTAACGCTAGTAAGAAAGTACTTGTGAGCAAAGATGTGTTTGTTAATGTGCGTCATGGCTTTA